TTTTATTTAGTGCGAAAGATTCATAGGAGAGTGAGAGCTTTATTAAGAGAGAGGGGTAAATCTGGGTTCATACCGAGCACTAGGAACAGCCACGGGGAGGAGCATCTAGGCCAGGAAGCCTGGAGCACATGGCTCAAAGGCCACGAGCCCTAGAGGCATAGGGCTACAGCAAGCCCCTTCCTGGCAAGAGGCCAGGGCTGAAGAGAAGGGCAGGACACACCATGTTCCAGGCTTTTAACCCACTTCCAAAGAGGAGTGGTTAATTAACCTGATTGGCTGGTGGGCACCCAGGTGTGGCCAGGTAGGGGCATGAGGTCACACAGGGGTGTGGCAAAGGCGTGGTCTTCCAGCTCACAAACCTAATCGATTTTAACCTACATGTCTGCCTACTTCATTCCCCCCTCAGAGACTCCATCCCTTAATCCTAAGGGAAGTTGATGGATGTCGAATCATCTCTGGTTTATGGCTAACTGATCTTCAACCGAGGTCCTAAGAACAAACATTGGGGGAAAAAGTCACATTTTCCTTAATGAATCTGGGAAAGTTGGACATCCATATGCAGAAGAATGAAACCAGGTCTTCTGTCTCTCAGCATATACAAAAAAATCAACTAAAAATGGATTAAAGACTTAAATGTAAGGTTTGAGACTATTAAACTACTGAAAGAAAAGAGGGGAAACACTTCAAGACATTGTAATGTACAAAGAGTTTTTGGATAAGACCCTGAAAGCACAAGAAACAGAAGCAAAAACAGACAATGGGATTACATCAAACTAAAAAGCTTATGTGAAGGGCTAACCTATGGAAGAAGATAAAATAGTTCTATCATCTGAGAAAGGATTAATTTCCAGGATATTTAAGGAACTCAAACAATTCAATAACAAAGCATCAAGTAATCTGGTTAATAAATAAGCAATAGATATTTCTCAAAAGAAGACTTCTATAGTTTAGATATTAATTTGGATGTTGAATGTTTCCCAGAGTCATACGTGTTAAAATCTCAGTCCACAGTGTGGCACTATTGGGAAGTGGAACCCAATGGGAAGTTTGTGGATAACTCCTGGAAAGCAGCTAAAAATGAGAGATTGTTGTAAAGGACTTGAGTAGGACCCAACCACTCTTGCTGCTTCTGGGCTTGCCATGTGATTCTCCCCCTGCATGCACTCTCACCATTGCTATTCATTTCCCTCCAAATCAATGGGGCTGCCTGATCTTGAACATGAATCTCAAAACTGTGAGCTGAAACAAACCCTTTTGTTTTACAAAGTTTATTGTCTTGGGTATTTCATTGTAGTGATGAAACAATGACTAATATAAAGATATACAAATGGCCAAGAGGTATGTGAAAAGGCCCTCAACATATTTAAGCATCCAGGAAATCCAAAACCACAATGAGATAGTGCCTCATTTCAGTTAGACAATTATTATCAAAGAGAAGAAAGATAAGTGCTATTGAAGACTTGGAGAAAACACCCTTATACACCAATAGTGAGAAAATAAATCGGTGCAGTCATTATGAAAAATAGTATGGAGGTTACTCACAATTATATAAAGAAGTACCATATGATTGAGCAACTCCACTACTGGCTATATATCCAAAGAAGATGAAATTAAAAAGTCTGTGGAAGAGACATCTGAACTACCCTGCTTCTTGCTTAAGTATTAATAATAGCTAAGAAATTGAAGCAACCTAAGTGTATTCAACGGTTATCTGGAATACAATGGAACACTATTTAGCAACAAAAAATGATGAAATTCTATCATTTGCAACAACATGGATAGAACTCAAGGACATTATGTTAAGTGAAATAAATAAGTCAAGCATAGAAAGACAAATACTACATGATCTCTCTAGTATGTGGAATCTAAAATGTTGATCACATAGAAGTTTAGATTGGAATAGTGATTACCAGAGTCTGGGGGGAAAAGGAGGCAGAGAGAGATTGGAAAAGGTTGGTCATAGGCACTAAGTTACAATTACATCAGAGAAAGTAGTTCTGGTGTTTTATTGCATAGGAGGGTCACTATAAGTACTGAGAATTACCATAAATCACAAAAAAAAAAAAACAGAATAAAGGATTTTGAAGTTTTCTACACAAGAAAATTGAATATTTGAGGCAATATATAATTTTACCTTGATTTGAAATTATAGAATGTATATACATATTGAAAATCACATGGTATCCTATAGATACATTCAATTTTAGTGTGTCAATTAAAAAGAGAGAAAGGAAAATGGAAGGAAGGAAGGAAGGAAGGAAGGAAGGAAGGAAGGAAGGAAGGAAGGAAGGAAGGAAGGGGTGAGGGAGGGAGGGAAGGAGAAAGTGAAGGAAAGAACAAAAAGAAAAAGAAAGAGGGGAGAGAGAGTGAGGGAGAAGAAAGATGCTATTCAGATACAGCAAAAGGCTTGCATAAGTGTAGGAACCCGCCAGTGAAAAAGCTCATTTTCCAAGCATGTCTGAGAACATTTGGCTAATGGGAAGGGAGAGGAGTGAGTGGGCTCTGTCCTTTGAAAATTTTTACAAAGAGTAAAGGCTGTCAATCATTTCATCATCAAATCTTGTGGATTTTCTATTTTTGCACAATTCTTATTCAGATGGCCAACATCTATGAAGTGATTTGTAACACTAATTCCAAAATCATTCTCCTTATCACTCATTCTTCTTAACAGTTTATACCTTATCCACTTCACTTTCTCCAAAACATCATTGTTCATGTCATCCCTCTGTGAGGGATACTTTCTGGGGCTGGTGTGTGGCGCAGCAGGTTAAGTGGCCGCCTGCAGCGCTGGCATCCCACATGGTCATGGATTGAGTCCTGACTGCTCCACTTCTTATCTGGCTCCTTGCTAATGTGCTTGGGAAAGCAGAGGAAGAAGGCCCAAGTACTTGGGTTCCTACACCCACATTGGAGACCTGGTTGACGCTCTTGGGGAGTGAACCAGCAGATGCAAAGATGGAATATTCTCTCTCTCTCTCTCTCTCTCTCTCTCTCTCATCTCTGTAACTCTGCCTTTCAAATAAATACATAACCCTTCAAGGAAAAAACAATTTTCATTGCAACCCATTACATATACAATAAGTTCCAAATATCTACTTGGCCTTCAAGTCCCTTTTGAATCTACCCCTACCTCTCCAGCATTATTTTTCAGATTCTCCTGCACAAATTGAAAGCCCCATACCATCAGTTATGTGTGGTTTCCCATGGCCTGAGCTTCACCACCTCTGTGCTGCTCACATTTCCCTTTGACTTCAGAAAGCTTTTCTAAAGCACTTTGTATATTGGAATCTTGTCCTTAAGCCCAAACTCAAATATCATCTCAACCAAAATGTCTGTGATTCCAACAGCTCCAAGCTCTTTCACTTTTCTATGAGTTGATCTAGAAATTTACTTGCTCTATCATTATGATGACACTGGAATTTCTGTTAGGAATTAAACAGTCACATGTAGTAGCTCCTCCATTGGAATTATCATTCTTCTGTTGGAGTTACAGTTTAGAAAGGGCAATATTTCTAAAATTACAAATCTGATCAAGCCACTGGCTTCCCATCACTAACAGGACAGTTTAAACTCCTTAACATGACCTAATTGTCTTTCATTAATTGTTCTGTAATTTTCTTATTTAAATCTCCTACTACTCTCACACACATACAAATTTTCAGCCTACCATTTGGGAGAAGTATTTTCTTATGGACATAGCTACATCCTGAAGCCAGGATTCTGAAATAGTTACTTCTAGACATCTTTTTGCTGAATTGACTTAAACTATTCTTCATCACACAAGTGTTAGTATGTGGTAGTTTGAAGAAAACTTGTGAAAGTTGAGGGGAATGGAAAGATCCTGGTATCCCCAAATAGCTCTCACCTGTGTAGAAATGCTGAAATAACTTAGCAAAATATTCAATGTTGTTTAACTTAATGTTGTGGGACAAGGCTAGAGTGAATTCTCTATGGTATAAGAGGTCCAACTACTAAGATGCAAGGTAAGCATTTTATGTTTTTTTTTTTTTTTTTTTTCTGGTGCCTTTCCTGCTACCTGTATTTCTGAATTGCATAGATATGTACTTAAATCGCCATGAGATAATTTTCTTGTATATCAACAATCAGAATCTCTGGCTTCTCTTAAGAATTACTACCTTTCATCTGCTCTCTTCAAAAACACCCAATGGTACAATTGCTATCATGGGAGGTGACTCATATGGGAGAAACTCTTGTTAAAATGCAACTGGAAAATACATAAACTTTTGTAGATCAATTAACTTGGACTAGATAAATGATCATATTGGTTAGCTATTAGTTAGAAGAGATTCTGGATATAGAACACTGATGGATTGTGGGGAGTTGGCAGAATGGGAGCCTGTGATATGGTGGGAAATTAAACACAATAGAGCAATTAGTGATGACAAAGGGTGTGCTCCAGGAAAATACTGACAGCCCAAAAACAATTGCTGACACTTATTAAAAGTTCACAATGTATAAGACTTGGCTCTAAAGGATTTGCTGTATTAACTCACTTAATCCTCAAAGTAAACTTATAAGTAGAAACTATCATAATCCTTTCATTAAAGATGAAGTGTGCTTATAGTCTTGATCAAACTTATCCATCTATTAAATAATAGAAATAAGATTCAAACCCATAACATCAGGCCTCATGCTATGAACTTCACTATTATATTACACTATCCCTGAAAAAATGAGTGGCTATCCAAGAGATACTTAATTTACTAAATTCAACCAGTCAGTCAAATCAGCCTGGTTTAGCAGCCATTGAGAATAGCACAATGCAGAAGCTTCAGACATAGCTAAAGACAATAGGGTAGAAGGGCATCAGAGTGAACTCCTTAAACGCCACTAATAAGTTTGAACCTCATTAGTAGATCTATATTGATAGCTTGAACATCTATTTATATTCTCAGATGTTTGTAAAATGTCATTTGTCTCCTGAAATCAATGAAATGGAGATTACTTACTTGAGATTTAAACCTGGAGAAGTCACATACCTTGACTGCTTTCCTGGAAAGAGTTGTAAGTTTTTTCATAGGATTTTGAGAATATTTTGCTGTGATAACTGGAGCAAGTGCAAAAAATATCTTAATCCTTTTAGCCAGTTCTGGATTTATAGAGAATGCTATGAAAGCTGAAAGGGAAGAAGACACTAGTTAACAGATTTAAGGCAATTATTTCTTCATTTTAAATGGTAGAAGAGTTAGTTACAATAAAAACAAACAAACAAAAATCAATTTAGAGTGAGTACCATTTGTAGAGAGGAATTTCTGAATTTCTCAAGGGTGGAATTAGCTAACTCAGAACAAAGTGAGTTTCCTGCCCATAGGGAATGCAAGTCTTCTTATAGAGAGTGTGGAAGAAAGGGTTCACACACCCACTGTGGAGTATGTCTGGTTCAACTCCAAGGGTCATTCTAGCTTGACTAATAGTCTTTGGTATCAGACAAAACTGTGCTATAAATGTAGCTTACTATTCATTAGCTGTGTGAACCCACATGTATCTATAAATATACACATTCATATATAGAAAATATACATCCATATATTTACATATTATATATATAATATATATGAAACTTAAGGTGTTACTTGGCCGTATTACCATTAGAAAGGATTCCTAAGTTCAGCCATTTGTAAAATATGAATAATAATGGTATCAGATGTTTGTAGTTTCCAATGAGAGAATGAATGTAAGATATGTCATACAGTACAGGTATATAAATATCAGAAATTCAATTAGGATTAAGATATAGAAAACAGACTGGTGGAAACAGTCTGGTATTATGGAAGCCTCATCTAAATGGAAATCAGTGGGCAGAGTGGACAGAGATTCCTCATGGCATGGCTGACATGATCCTACTCATATCTTGCCTATTTAAGAGCCTCCCTGGCAACTAACATATTGTAGTGCATAATCACAGAGTTTTGTAATTCTCTTCTTTCTTTTTGGAGTCCCTCACTAGACAGTGAGATATTCAAGGAAATAATGAACATCATGGTTATCTCTGCTTTCCCAGCATATAAGCCAGTGTCTAACAAATGTTTGTTGGGTACGCAAATGAATGAGCTATTTCTCTCTTTCAGTCTTCCGAATTGACCCCCAAATTCAGTGTTGGAGAAAATACTCCAATTGTCATTCCTGTTTTATTTACTTTTCAGAAACCAGCCAGAGGAAATGGTTTTGCAATTGAAGCTCACAAACTAGAGACTGCACATAGAGAAGAAATAATGATCCCTTCCACAAATATGGAAGAGGAGTCCCTGGTACACGGATCATATCTCCCCCAAAACATACCTATGGTAGTACCCTGGGAGTGGCCCACATAGTAGAGTTGCTTCTGTCCAGTTTTCTCTGTGATAAAATTGATGGTGGCTGGAAGGTCATATTTAGCCAACTCATCCAAACTGCCAAAGAGATGGAGCAACCAAATTGGAAAAGGCATCAACTATTAGTCTTGTGATATTTAAACACATTGACTATAGAGATTTTGTTAAATGTAACACTAGAGTTAATACATGATATTAAGATTTTTGCAATTTTTGAGTATGTCACCCTGAGTGTAAGAAAAAACATTTTTAAGAAGCTGAATTCAGAAAAATATGACTTATAAAGCCCAATGATCATTTTCCTGTAAGTCTGTTCACATTTCATATAATCCCATAACAGACTTACCAAACTAGCTTAAAAAAATAATTATTTCAAATCCTTATTAAAAAAAAAAAACAGAATAATAAAGCAAACAGATTTGTAGATCTCAACCTGGCCTCCACCAAAATAAAATTTCCGGAGAAAAGTCTGGTAATTTGCATATCAATGATCTCAGGTGGTTGCAACCCTGTGCATAGCTTGGGGTACACTCACCTGTCATCTGCAATACTGCAATAACACAAGTGCATTGGGGTGTGGAATTAAGAAATGCCAGATGGCTTCCAGAAAGAAGGCAGGAATAAGGTCAAGGAAAAAATATCATTAGTGGCCTTCAAGGCATGGATGTTGGCTTCAATGCAAGTGTACATGTTTATCCCTGTGACCAAGGTCAGTCTGCTGAAGCAGACAGCATGCCCAGATGCTGCTAATGGCAACACTGCTCCACAGCCACTCTGAGATCAGGACACACACACACACACACACACACACACCAGGAAGCAGGGATTTGAAAACAAATCTCAATGCTATAGTAAAGGCATTTCTTCAAAGTGAAGAACACCTGGATAGAAGAAGAGAGCATTTTTTTCTTTGTGGATTTCTTTGGGTATATTTGAACTTAAAGAGAAAAATCCAACAGATGTTTATGCATATCAATGAGCAAAATGCATTTTATTCATTACCAGGTTTCTCCTTACCCGAAAGCCCAGTATTCTGATGATTTGGGTGACAATTTCAGGTGTTTTCTGGACCAGGTGTTTCCTCGGCTGTTCCCTAACCACACATCATAACCACTATCTGCTAGAAGGAAAGCCAGGCTATTGTTGGGCAGGTTGCAAATCCAATCAGTGGCAGATGCAATCACACCATGCTGCAAATACACAACAGGCTTGTGGTCTGCAAAACACAGGCAGCAAAATTTTATGTATGAACTTTCTCAGAATCTAGAAGAACATTCTTTTTCCTGACTTCCTGTAGTATGAAAGTGAATTTAATAGACAGAATTTGGTGTCTGGCAAATCTACGACCTAGTGTCTTCAGACCTATTTATTTGGGCAAGTTATTTATCTACTCTGTGTCTCATTCTCATGTATAAAATTGTAATTATACACACACACACACACACACATTCATATTGTTTTATGTCAATAGTAGAGTCAGATTGCCCTGGTTCAAAAATGCATTCTGCGACATATCAATCCCTTTGTACCTTTGTTAACCCATCTGCAAATGAGGAATAATAACAAATGCTTTCACATAGCAGTTGTAAAAATTTGATGAGAATAAAAGACTGTCCAACAAAATAAATATTAGCTCTATTACTGTATTAACATTTATAGCATTAAATTTCTCAAGATGACTCATTACAAAACTTAAAGGTTTTCTTAAGATAAGAAAAGCAATAATAAAAATGCCTTTTGCAGCATATTTACTAAAAGCCCAGACACAATGTTAGATTTTGTAGGCAATGTTTCATTTTATTTGGATTGTTAGAAAGCAAAATTGAAGGTTGTGAGTAGGATTTTATATCATGTAAAATGATTTATTTATCTATTTATTTTAATTTTGACAGGCAGAGTGGACAGTGAGAGAGAGAGAGAGAAAGGTCTTCCTTTTGCCGTTGGTTCACCCTCCAATGGCCGCCGCGGCTGGCGCGCTGCGGCTGGCGCACCGCGCTGATCCAATGGCAGGAGCCAGGTACTTCTCCTGGTCTCCCATGCGGGTGCAGGGCCCAAGTACTTGGGCCATCCTCCACTGCACTCCCTGGCCACAGCAGAGAGCTGGCCTGGAAGAGGGGCAACCGGGACAGAATCCGGCGCCCCGACCGGGACTAGAACCCGGTGTGCCGGCGCTGCAAGGCGGAGGATTAGGCTAGTGAGCTGTGGCGCTGGCCCTAAAATGGTTTATTTGTTATAAAAACCCTACTGTCAATTTAGAATTGGAACATTTTAATGAAGAAAAAGAAAAGAAATAAAGAAGTGGGAAGTGGTGCTGGAAAAGAAAGAAGAGAGGGAAGAAGCGATTAGGGTTTCCTCTCTTCCATAAAAGATTTGTAATGCTGGGTTGATACTTGGATCCCACCTCAGGTCATGTTGGGGCTGGACAGGCTTCCTGAGAAACTCAACAGTGTTTAGGTTAAATTAGACTCTTAGAGAGCTGTCATCTTTCTGCAAGCAAGAAACAAAAATCCCTGTCTATCCACTTTTTGGAGAAAGGGAAAGAAGAGACATTACTAACTCTGCTCAAGCTAGGTTCTGCCAAACAGCAGGCACAGCACAAAGTCTCTCTTTTCTCATTTGTAGAGCTTTCCTCCTAGTGCAAGTTGACAGTTATGGGCCAGAAATAAGAGAAAACTTCAGGGACTACTAGAAGTTCTCATGAATATTTACAAAGGTAATCCAGTTATCCTGGGAAATGATTGGTTCCTAAAAGTAAGAGGCAGCATTATCGCTCACTCTTTTAAACATCCTACATTTTAAAATAAATAATCAATCCTTCTGCTATTGAGAAGTCTTGTTATATAACACATCAAAGAAAACAAACTAAGAAGGGGAACATGGAGTTTCTGATATATGGATAATTTTTTAAATTTTAAAAAATTAATTAATTAATTATATTTATTTGAAAGGCAGAGAGACTAAGAAAAGACACTCCACAAATGCCCTCAACAGCCAGAGGTGGGACAATCTGAAGTTCGGAGCCCAAAATTCATTCTTGTCTCTCACATAGCTGGAATAATCATAATCATAATATGCTGCCTCCCAGCACCCACATTAATAGGAAACTGAAATTAGAAGCAGAAGTGGGATTCAAACACAGGCACTATGATATGGGATGCAGGCATCCTAAATGATGTTTTAATTGCTGTGCCAATGACTGCCCCAGGATCACTCCTTTTCCTGCAGTTGCAACTTGTATTGTAGAGAGCCAGAAATGACTCTTTGATAACATTTAAGCACAGTACTATTAGGATCAAATTTACTTGTAAAAAAAAAAAAATAAAGTCATACTGACTTGTGTGGAGAAGTGTTTATAAGTGGTTTAATACCAATCAGAGGATAATAGTAGTTGTAGACACTTTCTCCAGGCCTGGACATGAGTACTATTGAAGCTAAGAGATGCTTTCGGATGAGAGAAAGAGTTAGGAGGCAAAAGCAATAAATCTTGGTGATTGGCTGCACATAGGTGAGGCAGAAGATCGTGTCAAGAGTGCCTCCTAGGTTTCTGATGTTCAAAACTTTTGCATCTGTATTTGGAAGGAGGACAAAATTATGGAGACCAAATAAGCAATGTATATGAAGAGCCTTAATTTCAAAGAATAATGCAAATTAAATCGAGAAGTTTGAGTGATATTGCTAGAAACAGGGATCAGCTGAGGCCTGAGAGAGATAGACAAGGACACAAGGGGCCCAAGAGATAAGAGACTGAAGCCTGACATGCAAGCCTGATGTGCAGAGGGATACGGCTGGAATAAAACATCCCCACTACTCCAAAAGAGACAGAGAAAGTGGAAACAAAACAGGATGTGGTTACAGAGGGATCCATACAGTTCCAAATCCCTAATTCCCAGCAATGAGGACAGTGGTGACTGACTGACATGTTTACAAAACCCTGTACAAACAGGGTAAAAAGATTGCAAATCAGGTCTTTTGATGGATTTTTGTCTTAGCCCTGTAACTGAATGTCAACATTTTGCTTCCCTCAAATGGTGCTTAAATCCCCAGTATCATCAGCTCCTTTGGGTTTTGTCTCTCTTGGAGCTCCCCTTCATGCCACTCTGGCTGGAGGTCACTGACTCTAATAAATCTTGCTTTTAAATCTTTTAAACAAACAAACAACCCTGTACAAACTTCCTTACAGTTCAGAGGATAGAAACTCCTTGGCAACCTCTCCTTAATGGTTCTCCCACTGTGAGAGCTTCCCTTTGCTTCAATAAAACTTTACTTCTCTAGTTGCCCTTCTTTGTCCGTGATCCTCGCTCTTCCATGGTCACAAGACATGAACCCAAACGGCTAGAACTACAGGTTCCTACAACAGTATTTTCCTTCTGAAATGGATGAGACAGTGACCTCTTTCAGAACAAAAGCCGCCATACTGTTGCCAGACATCCGGGTATCTCTACTATAGATATTTCTTCTTTCATAGCAAAATGAAACACACCTGATTTCCTTTGGTAACCTTTTCCATGAGGAATCCTGTATATTCCAAGGATATAACCATCTTGTGTCACAACATCATACTTTTCCCAAGGATAACCCCAGTAGGATATAATCTGACTCTGAGTAAAAGGGAAAGAAAAAAAATCTCTTTAATTTTACAGAAGAGGCACAGATTTATACACTGAGAACCATTGAAAACTAGATAGAAACACAAACTGAATCGATGACAAGTTAAAAGGCCTATATCTTAGTGCATTTTCTCACTCAATGAATTACTTACAACATTCATATTAGCTTCAGGATTTGTGATGCTTCCTTTCTTACAGCCACATATGGGTCTAAGAAGAAGAATCCAGCATGCTGCTGCTAAAAGCTGCCACATTTGGGGTCTGCCTGAGAAGAGAAATATTAACAAATCTGTCATCAAAGAGAAATTCCATGAAGTGAAATTCGATGCAATATTTTCAAAACACCACTTTGGAAGAGAGCAAAAACATCTATTTCTAAATTGTGCTTTAACAAATAATATACCAAATTATTCAAGGCTCATACTTAAAAAATGAAACAAGAGTGTCAAATTGTTAAGTCAACAACAGGAGTCACTGTGTACTTACTCCTCATGTAGGATCTCTGTCCTTAATGTGTTGTCCAATGTGAATTAATGCTATAACTAGTACTGAAACAGTACTTTACACTTTATGTTCTGTGTGGGTGCAAACTGATGAAATCTTTACTTAATATATATTAAATCGATCTTCTATATATAAAGAGAATTCAAAATGAATCTTGATGTGAATGGAATGGGAGAGGCAGCGGGAGATGGGATGGGTGCAGGTGGGAGGGAAGTTATGGGAGGAAAGCCATTGTAATCCATAAGCTGTACTTTGGAAATTTATATTTACTAAATAAAAGTTTAAAAAATACACATATACAAATGTAAAAAAAAATGTGAAATGGTGTTTTTAGTAGGAAATAAAATGAAGAAAGTGAGAGAAAGAGAGGGAGAAAGGAAAGCCAATCAAGCATTCAATAGAAACCTGGACAAAAGATTGGGACAGATAATTTGTAGAAAAAGAAATATAATGGATAATATGTTAATCAAAGAACATTTGAAATCTCTAGTTATCAGGTAAGTTGGTACTTTTGTATGATGGTAGGAGTGAACACTAGCAAAACCTTTATTGAAAGAAATTTGTTAACATATCCTGCAAATTTAATACTTACATCCTTCACTAAGTAATTTTATTTCCAGGAATCCATCTAAAAGTAATGTATAGGGGCTGGTGCTGTGGCATAGTGGCCTGCGGTGCCAGTATCCCATATGTGTGCCTGCTAGAGCCCCGGTTGCTCCTCTTCTGATCTAGCTCTCTGCTATGGCCTGGGAAAGCAGTGGAAGATGGCCCAAGTCTATGGGCCCCTGCCCCGAGTGGGAGACCCAGAAGAAGCTCCAAGCTCCTGGATTCGGAGCAGCTCAGCTCTGATTGTTGCAGCCATTTGAGGAGTGAACCAGCAAATGGAAGATCTCTCTCTCTCTCTCTCTCTCTGCCTCTGTAAGTCAGCCTTTCAAATAAATAAATAAATAAATCTTTAAAAAAAAAAGTAATGTATATATAAGCAACATGTATAAAACTATTCTTTATGATACATTTTATTAAAGTAAATTTCCCAAATGAAGATATTTGTGAAATATATTATGAGTGAGGAAGAATGGAATCATTCAGCCATTGCATATTATGCTTATGTATGATGTGTGAGAAATTTCTAGTATATTATATTAAGGGCAAACCAATATGTAAAAATGTACATTTATTTTGAGCTCAACAATGAGAAAAAACTATAAACAGAAAAAACCTTAATACAAAATTTTAATTTTGATTATGTCTGGATGATATACATTTGCATGATTATGATTTTTAAAAGTATTTTACATACTTTCTAAATTTTCTATATTCAGTATTATTTTATCATAAGAAAGCAATTATTTGAACAGAAAAATTTTAAATTAAGAAAATTACAGGGGAAAAAGATTATGAAGATTCTCCGTTTGACTTTGAATCCACTTAAACTAAAAAAGAAAACCAACAATTTTGAAAAAAAAAAAAAAGAAGAAGAAGTAGAGGACGTTTGGACATTTTGCAGGGGAGTCTCCATTTGCTACAGCCATTACAAAAAACATATTTCCAAATTATGTTAAAAAACACACTCCACCAGCTACTCTGTTCTGTTTTCTTCTGATTATGAGAGACACAGTAAGTTTAAACCTATAGGAAAAAAAAAAAAGATTTTCACACAATGATTTCATTCTTGTTATAAAAAGTTCCATGGGGGCCAGCGCCACAGCTCACTTGGTTAATCCTCTGCCTCCGGCGCCGGCATCCCATATGGGTGCCGGGTTCTAGTCCCGGTTGCTCCTCTTCCAGTCCAGCTCTCTGCTGTGGCCCAGGAAGGCAGTGGAGGATGGCCCAAGTGCTTGGGCACCTGCACCCACGTCAGAGACCAGGAAGAAGTACCTGGCTCCTGGCTTCGGATCGGCATAGCTCCGGCCGTGGTGGCCTTTTGGGTGGTGAACCAATGGATGGAAGACCTTTCTCTCTGTCTCTCTCTCACTGTCTAACTCTGTCAAATAAAAAAAAAAACTACAGCAGGGGGAGAAATTGCAAAGCAATTATTTATCAAAAAAATAAGAATAAAAAGAAAAGAAAGTTCCATGAATTCTTCTGGAATTTTTTTCTTTTTTTAATTTTTTTTATTTTTTATTTTTATTTTATTTTATTTTTTTTTATTTTTTGACAGGCAGAGTGGACAGTGAGAGAGAGAGACAGAGAGAAAGGTCTTCCTTTTGCCGTTGGTTCACCCTCCAATGGCAGTCGCGACCAGCGCGCTGCGGCCGGCGCACTGCGCTGATCCGATGGCAGGAGCCAGGAGCCAGGTGCTTTTCCTGGTCTCCCATGGGGTGCAGGGCCCAAGCACCTGGGCCATCCTCCACTGCACTCCCTGGCCACAGCAGAGAGCTGGCCTGGAAGAGGGGCAACCGGGACAGAATCCGGCGCCCCAACCGGGACTAGAACCCGGTGTGCCGGTGCCGCTAGGCGGAGGATTAGCCTAGTGAGCTGCTGCGCCGGCCCTGGAATTTTTTTCAAAATCATGATCTCTATTGATTGATTACATGTGACAATACATATTAATGTAATTAATATATACCAAAATTTTTAAATATATAACTGCATAGTAATATAATATGACATGTCAATTGACTTAGATTAATATAGCTTAGCTCTGGTGCATAACTCTGACAGTGATTAAAAAATACCACCAACCATCAGCAATAATTGTTATTGCTATTATGACTACGCATTGAACACCAATTACATGCCAAGTAACATGTCAGCCATACATGATCTCATTTTATTCTCAAAATAATTCCAAGGAATAAGAAATGTTATCCAGCATTACTTAAGATAAGATTGGATCTTACAGCTGTCAAGTAATATGTCCTATGTCAAAAAGATAGTCAGGTTGTTTGACTGTAAAGAAAATGCTCATTAGCTTTATGCTGTTAACCACTCAGTCCTTTCAGAGCAGATAGCACCCTCTGGCTGTCATGTGCCTGATTACTGTTTTTCCAAGAATGTGTCATAGACCATAGACATCATAATCATCATTAAAAACAGTGAAGACTACTGTTTTTTAAATAGCAATGGTATTTATTTATTTGAGTGGTAGATTTAGAGAGGGCAAGACAGAGACAGAGGTCTTCTATCCGCTGGTTCACCCAAATGGCTGCAATGGCCCGAGCTGGGCTGATCCAAAGCCAGGAGCCAGGCATGTCTTTTGGGTCTCCCACAAGTGTGCAGGAATCCAAGCACTTGTATCATCTTCTACTTCTTTCCCAGGGCATAGCAAAGAGCTGGATTGGAAGAGGAGCAGCTGGGTCTTGGACCAGTGTTTATATGGGATGCTGGCATTGCAGGATGCGGCTTTACTGGCTAGGCCACAGTGCCAGTCCCAAACACTATTTTTAAAAAAACATTATTGCAAGGTGTCTGGCATGTAACAAATCTTCCCAGGCAGACGAATCAATTAATTCACAAGCTTTTATTGGGATTCTGCTCCCGGGTGGGGTTCCCCGGTCCCAAAAGAGTGGGGGCCGGGGAAGTTGAGTGTCAGAGGTTGGAGGGCTCCTTTTATAGATATAGGGCATGGGGGTTAAAGGTTGAGGCAAGCCTGATCCTTACTGGTTGACCTTTAGGCACCTGCGGGGACCTTGACAAGGACTTTTCTTCCCTGGAAGTACAGGTAGGGACTCTACATTCCTGGAAGTATAGGCCTTTTCTCCTTGCGGATCCCAAAGCTACCAATTGTTATTGAAAGGGAGGGACAGGGAGGATTGGGGGGATGTGGAGATTGAGAGAGAGAAAGAGAGAGAGGGAGAGAGAGAGAGAGAATTTAATTTTCCATCTAGTAGTTCATTACCCAAATGCTCCCAGTGGCCTGGGCTGGGCCACGCCAAAGCTAGGAGCTGGAAACTTGCATCTCCCACCTGAGTGGTAAAAGCACATTCACTTGAGCCATCACCACTGCCTTCCAGGATCTATATTAGCAGGAAGTGAAGTCCGGAGCTAGAGCCAAGAATCAACCCCAGGTACTGTAATATGGGGCATATATATCTTAATCAGTAGGATAAACGCCTGCCTCTGACAGCAAGCTACAGTTAAGTTTTGAGAGTTGATTATGTCCTTAATTCATGAGTCTATCTTATGGGAGGGTAGTAGAGAAATTTTATAAAATTGATCTATCTGAATGCATTGACAATTTAGATGCTCTGGTCTTAGTCACTAGCCAGTGAACCTGGACTCCTGGGTTAGAACAGATCCAGTGCTTTTCTAAAATGGTCAAGCCAGAGAGCCTGTCAGGTTTGTAATTGTTCACAGGTAGAGGGTTATGTGGCTAGCACAGTCTTCTGCTTGTAGAAATAGCTGTAGTCTATCCCCAAGGGATGGCACCAGTTTGCACTGGTTATGACAGGCTGCCTTTTGCAGCCATGGCATAGAACCCATCAGCTACCTTTGCTCCATTCTTCTATGTGATGGATGTAGATAGAGAAGGGTGACACACCCACAAGACATGTCTTCATGTATTCCATTTTGTAAGGAGGGAGAGGTGCAATCCAAACAGTCTCTCTGTAGGTTTTTGTTACCAAGGATGTGCCTATCTGTTTTGACCTATCAGCCTCATACTAATAACCATAATTGCTGAGTAGGTCTGCTTGATTCAGGCACTTGTACTTAATGACACTCTACGAGCCCTTTTATTTCTTTGATCTGTTTCTGGTGGCTCACTGCCATCTCATGGGTCCCTTACTGATATTTTTCTGATTCACACTAATGACTATAAAAACATTGGACCAAGGGAAGAGCATACATTATAACTGCCAGGAGAATCACAATGTTTAAAGATGAGAGCCTTTGTCTCAGGCACCTAGAGCAAATAAATATAGATTATATTGATTATAATTTATATTATAATTTATTATAATATAGATTATATAGAATGTTATAATTTATAGGATGCCCAAATTGTGGTATAGTGAGTGAGGCAGCTGCCTGGGCAACTGACACCCCATATGGGCATTGGTTCATGTCCCAGCTGCTTCATTTCTGATCCAGCTCCATGCTAATAGCCTGGGAAAAGTAGCGGAAGATGGCCCAAGTATTATACTGATGTATCACTCTCAACGAGCATCACACTGCTATCCTGCAAAACAGGATCTCTGTAAGATATCATGAAAAGACCTCAGTGGTAAATATATGTTAAACTACAAACATAAATGTTTGTGCATCTGCGTGTGTGTATTGAATATATGGCTTTCTTAGAGAGTTACAGACCACATAAACATAAACAATGAGTTACTTGGAGAGTCTTTGTTTAAAATATAATATTTAAAAAATTTTTTTGACAGGCAGAGTGGACAGTGAGAGAGAGAGACAGAGAGAAAGGTCTTCGTTTCCATTGGTTCACCCCCAAATGGCTGCTACAGCCAGCGCGCTGTGGCAGGTGTGCTGCACTGATCCGAAGCCAGAACCTAGGTGCTTCCTGCTGGTCTCCCATGTGGGTGCAGGGCCCAAGCACTTGGCCCATCCTCCACTTCCTTCCCGGGCCACAGCAGAGAGCTGTACTGGAAGAAGAGCAACCGCAATAGAATCTGGCACCCCGACCAGGACTAGAACCCAGGGTGCTGGCGCCGCAGGTGGCAGATTAGCCAAGTGAGCCAAAGCGCTGGCCAAATATCGTAATCAAGACTCAGTAAAGTCTTAGAATCAAGATCCTGTTTAATTTTGTTCAATCTACTGTTCCACAGTCTTACTAGCCCTTAGAATTGTATGGTTTGAACAGCATCAATGAAACATATTATGACCCAAATAATCTAAAGAATTCAGTTGGAAAATCCTGCTTTGATGTTTCTTCTCTTATCTATTCACTATATGCCCCTCCCCCCAAAAAATCCTGCATAATGAAGGAAAGTTGCAACTAGCCTAAAATCAGAAACTTGATTTAAACAATCTGTTCAGAAATGAAACTTTTGTAGTCTGTGGTGGAGACAGCTGCCACATCTTATGGAATCTGGTTAGAAAAAGATAACATCAGGAATGTGACCCCAAGTAAGGCTCTTCCATTGATCAAAAATCTCCCTTCTCTTGTAATTGGTATTGCTTTTTCCACCAAGCCACTGTAGCTATAGGGAAATGTGAAACTTTTGAAAGAATATTGTCTTTCTACAATACGCAAGCAGCTCTCATATGTAATGCATTTTGCACTGACAAATATATTCCTTATAAAATTAAGCATACCAGTTTATCAACAAAAGATTATCAGAAATAATAGAGACCTTCATTCCTCTTTTCTCATTGTCCCATAATAGAACTGTTCAGGCTCAACAAGCAAACGCTTAATCAGAGCATTTGTCAATGATTGGACAGCATTCTTCATTAATCTACACCCTCATTCTCCATTGCAATCTGAAACAAAAGTGAAAATTGGTCTGATTATGTACGTACTAAGACTCCACAAAGAGTTCTAAGGTGCTTTGGGTTGGAAAGTGTGTGCACTTTACACACACATACACACACACACACACCAGTTTTACATATAGATCAATGGTAAAATAAAACTAATGATGAATCCCTGAATGCTTCATGAAATTTTTTGAGGTAAAATTCTGGCTTTGTCTTTCAGAGGCTATGGCAGCCAGGAGAATGTATCTCTCAGGTCTTCAACTGCTTTCAAATCCATTACTGTGATTCTATTGAAGCCACTCATTGTAGACACTTAATAAGTATTGCCTATCACTGTTATTATTATCATTACTGTTATTGTGTGACTTTTCATAGTCAATTTAATTTTGCTGAAACTGGATTTCCTTATCTGTAACATGGGGGATAATAACACCTACCTGTGATGTGATAAGTAAGATAATAAATCATGTCTACAAAACATCTCTCTCTCTGCCTCTGCCTCTCTGTAACTCTGCCTCTGAAACAAATAAACAAAATATTTTTTTAAAAAAATCCATGTTTTCATATGATTTTAAGACAAAGAGTATTGTCAGAGACAAAGAGGGAGATTTTATATTAATTCATCTGAAAGACAAAGTCAATTCATTAAGAAAATGAAGCACTCTAAATGTGTAGGCACCTAATAATAGAACTTCAGAATATATGAAGAAAAAACTGATACGTCTAAAGAGAAGTCAGTTTCACAGCTGGAAATTCAGTATTTCTTTCAGTAATTGACAGTGTTGGGCAGCAGAAAATTGTATTCAAAAGTACGAGATTGGAACGCTTCCTTCCGTGGCAACCTCAAGAACAAAGCCGCTCTGACCTCCTGCTCTCCTATATTCTGCCACATTTTCTCCCTTGAAGCGTGTCATAGAAGCCAGAATTACACTTCCTCCATAGTCATGAAACCTAGAAAGGTCACTCTCTCCATTTTTTTCCTGAAAATCTGTATCCCAGAAAAGTCCAAAAGGAGGGAATGCCGCACAGAAAGAACAAGAACAATCTGAAAGGACAGGCTTTGCTTGGTTTCTCCTTCTCAATCTAGACCATTACATCATATCTTTTTTTCCAATCACATTTCTACTGATGAAGAAGGCCATTCTTCATCAGTGCTAATAATAAAAACAGACATTTTTTTCCTGGGACTTGAGGAGTCTTCATTTCTGAAGGCTCCTATGTCAAGTAAAACTTTAAATAAAATAAATTTATTATGCTTTCTTTTGTTAATCTATTCTTTTCTTCTTATAGGAGTGTTTGCCATGTCCTTTGAAATGATAGATGAGGAAAGCTATCCCATCATTCCAGTCCCTATAGTTTCTGGCATCCACCACGGGATGGTTGGGACACCTGGCTAACTCCAGACCCACAGATGAGATCCTGGGTCAAATGGCAAAGAGCAAAGGCAAGGTAAATTATTTTTTTCTTAACCAAGGTCTTTTCCCCTAGATCTGTGCCTTCAGTACATGGTTAAAAATGGATGGTAAATTTTTCTTTATTGCTTTCTTTCCAAATTCAGATTTCTAGGATAAAAATATTTGTATTAACTAGTTCTAGAAGAGACTGCTGTCTTGAAGCCGGTACAAGCCGTCTTGTTTTCTGATCCCTTACCCCTCAAATACACTCTTTAGTTTCCTTTGTCTCTGTCTCTTGTGTTCTTTATAGTAAGGAGGAGATTCACACAGAGGAACACACAGGCCTTTATAAGCCTACTGCTTGAACCAACCTCAAAGACTTAGAGTTCATGGTTCTTAGGAAACCATGAAATTTATTTGGGCAACATTTGCTGTCCAAAGTTGGTTTAAAGCAAAAACTGGAGAGTGTTGCTTTTCATATTGTTTTATACCCTAAGAGCTTGTTGTTTGTTTGTTTGTTTCTGAACAAGTGAGATCTCTCCCTTTCTCTCTCTCTCTTACTCTTGTTTCTACCACCCAGGAGGTGCAATTGACAGACCACATCAGCAGTCAATCTGAAAAGACTGGGAACTCAAAAGGCAGAAAAGTAACTAAGCAGCATTCTCTTTGTGGGATCATGCTAAGCTCTCAGGGGACTGTATCTTAATAAGTCTCATCTGCCATCTTAACCTTTGTTGCCGGGTTAGTGCTGGGAAAGTTTAGTGCCTTAACTGTCTGCCCAGTAGTCTGAGACTGGAGACACCTCAAATTTTTGTGGGAGACCAGAGATACCATCCATAAAACACCACTTAATTTTATGCATTCATGGCCTTAAGAATATTTTGCTATTTCAGTCTATCTCTCTGGGAATAAATTTTTGGGATCATGGGGTTTATGTTTTCCATGACCTCTGCAGAAATGCCTTTTGGTTTCATGTAAATATTTAGTCTAAGCTCCTGATCTTTCCATGAAAAGGCATATTGGACTGAATTACATGGGAACAAATACACCACTGAAGATCCTAATTATTGACGTATAAACAATTAATTCTTTGACTTGGAAAGAATTTTCTTTTGGAAAAAAATTTAGATAGCTCTTACCTTGAGTAATTTTCCTGTTGGTATTTATATGAAAATCAAACAAAAAGAGGGGAAAAACTTTCAGGAGCTCTGTAGTCACTTATCAGCTTAATTAATAGTAAATTATTAGAAATAATTCAAACATACACAGATAGAATGGACACACAATTTTGTTATATTTATGCAATGAAATAGTACTAAATGACACATTCAACAGTGTGACTATATCTCAGTTATGCAGAGTGAATCAAGTCCAGGTCAAAAGAATACATACTCAATACTTCCATTTCTGTGAAAATCAAGAACAGAGGAATTGAATGAATAGGAATAGAAATAGCAGTAGTGTGGTTGCCTTTGTGGTGCAGCAGGAAAAGCAGCTGCCTGCGATGCACCTATACATCATCCCGTATGGGTGCCTGTTTGAGTCCTGGCTGCTCCACTTTGATCCAGCTCCCTGGTAATGTACCTGGGAAAGCAGAGGAAGATAGTCCTAATACTTGGTCCCCTGCACTCATTTGGGAGACTCAGAAGAAGCTCTTTGCTCCTGGCTTCCGTCTAGCCCAGTTCCCACCATTGGAGGCCATTTGGGGAGTAAATCTGCAGATGGAAGAGCTCTCTCTCTTTGTCTCTCCCTCTTTCTGACTGAGCTTTGCCCTTCAAATAAACAAAATAAATCTTAAAAAAAAATAAGAACAATAGTGTTTGGTGGGGAAGCTAACTGTAAAGGTATAAGAAGAAATTTCTAGTGCAAAATCAATATCTTGATTGGAGTTGTCAAGATTCATCAAATGGTACAATTAAGAACTGTGCATTTTGCTGAATGTAATAAGAGGTTAATTAAAAAGAAACAGGAAACTATGTTGCAAAGCAAGTGTTGTCAATGACTGCTGGTGCTGGCATAAATTAGTGCAACTTATTTGAAATCATACTGCCTGCTATATTTACTAGAAATTTTAAATAACATTTATATCCTATGTCCCAGAAATTACATTTAATAAATTTATACTATGAAAATAAATTCCCAATTTGAAGATGGAGGGAAGAAGATTTTTATACAAGATTATATTTTTATTATTTGTAATAAATAAAATTAAAACATCTTAATGATAAAAGGATAAGTTTATAAACTGTAACATTAATTTCATCTTATAGATAAAACCATTGAATTGTTTATGAAGGTTACATAATAACATGAAAACATATTCACAATACAATGTAAAATGGAAGAAAGAGTTCTTGGAAGGAAGAATTGGATACAGTGTTAGTCCTCCTATTAGGGTATGCAATGGCTTTCAAAATATAAATAATTTGAAAGAGTGAAATCCCAGTCCTTTGATTGTCATGTACACACTTTTATGATAATAGTTATGTGGCCTGAGAATTTCTGGCTTCAAGATGGTTTTCCTTGTTAACTCTACAATGGAAAAACCTAATTCATTCCTTTTCTGGTCAAATGTATTAGGCTATAGAAACACCTGGGACTCCCTAACAAAAAAATAGCTGACTATATTGATGTTGATATTTGACAAAGGAAGTTACTTTAATAAAGTAACAATCTTTTTCCAAAGGCGATTAACTTCTTCAAATCAGGCATGTTTGAACTTTTTGCTTTAAAATACTTGTTAGCAACTAGATCATAAAAAAAAAAAATTTGTGTTGATGTATCATTATGTGATTTGTGACAACGGGCTTCAGAAAGAATTCAAATAATTGAATGGCATTATGTAAACATGGTTTCTCAGAACTTAGATCCATTTCAAAAATGTGAATGATTGATTATGAACTTTGTTTCATTATATCAGTAAATAATAATCATCACTGGATGTATGAATTAAAAGGAAAAGATTTATTCATGTTGTAAGAGGTGTATTGGTAGTAAAATTTTATTTTGCTTAATTGTATTCATTAAACTTAATAAGTTTATAATTCTTTGACCAATTATATGCCAACAAAAATTAAAAATCATTAAAATTAAATACAACCAAGGGCCACCAGAAATGAAAACAATTAAAATTTTAATGCATATGCACTTTTTAGGGGCAGAGAACTTATTGATCAATAAAACACTTATAAGCACAAAAAATACTATATTAGGATATGTATTTGTGGGAATGAATAAAACATTCATAGGAAAAAGTGAGACAAGCATATGATTTCATGGAGGAAAATAAAAGGTATAAAACTTTAATTCATAAAATGAAGTATTATTAAAAATAATTATAACAATTTTATTGTAAATTGCTAAAATTTCTGTGTCCCACAAAATGCATTTTTAGCAACTGTTTAAAATTATAACAAAAAATTTCTATATCAACCTAAAAAATTTGCCAGTACTTACATAATTTTGGAAAATATGAACTATAAAAGCAAAAACAATTTTAATTAAATGATACATGTATTAAAATTTGAGTTTTTTAAAAAATATTTATTTATTTATTTACCTGAAAGTCAAGCTACAGAAATAGAGAGAGAGAGAGAGAGACAGATCTTCTACCTGCTGGTTCACTCCCCAGATGGCCTCAATGGCTAGGGCTGGGCCAAGCTGAAGCTAGGAGCCAGGAGCTTCTTCCAGGTCTCCTGCTTGGGTAGCAGTGGCCCAAACACTTGAGCCATCCTCTTCTGCCCTCCCAGGCCATTAGGAGGCAGCTGGATCAAAAGTGGAGCAGCTGGGACATGAACTAACACCCATATGGGATTCTGGCTTTTCAGGCTACAGGTTTATTCACAATGCCTCAATGCCAGTTCCTATGTTTGTTTTCAAATCTCTAAAAGAAAGAAGCAAACAAAAATCCATGATCATAAGAAGCACTGGAAGGATTACTCCAAAATGATATACTTGGTTACTAGGAATAAAATTTTTTCTTATTCCATTGATTTCCTTATTGGTATTGTATTCATACTTTCCTTGGTGACTTTATTAGTGAATTGTTCTTACACTGAAAATATAGCTTTTGACATGTAGAAACAATTAGGTGTAACTATAAACTGAATGACCTCTGGGAAAGGCCTTAGGTATCTTCTAATGTTGCAGTGTTCTCAGTGTTAGTATTTCTGCCTTATCATAACCATTTCAGCAGTTCCCCATGTTTTTTTTCCTTCTTCTTCTTCTTATTATTATGTGATTTTTGACTGTGGTATAAATGATGAGATTTGCTAGATAGTTATGTATGAATTACAATGTTCTGGCACATGTTACATTTCCCCTTTCTGCATGCATGGTATTTTCAATCTAAATATGATTGGGTGTTTAGAAAAATTTAGATTCTAGATTGTCCCTACCTCAGCTTCTTTCTCTAAGCCTTGATACTCTTCATCTCTTACCAAACAACAGGGATCACATCCCACACAACTATAAGTAGTAAAACTGAAAGAACTAGATATAAATTGCTTTTGATTTCCTTCATCCAGAATGAAAGACTTAATGAATCAGGAAAAGTGAGAAGAGTGGGAAGACAATTAACAAGGGAATGAATGAAACTTTATGCAATAGGAGATCCAAGCCTACATTTGAGGATTAAGCACCTTTCCATTGAAGGAAGAAAAACTATGCAATTTAGACAGGATCTTAAAATAGATTAAGAGACCAATAGCTCTAGGCTGTAAGTATAGAAGCAGAGGAAGGAAAATAAGCTTCCTAGGATAAATGAAAATAAAGTATCTGAAGGAGAAAAGAAAAATGAATATTAACCTCTAAAGGGTACTTTATTTCATGTCTTTGCTATAATATGAAGGACAAAGCACTTGTTCTGCCTGGCTAAAATGGGTTCTGAAGGATTGTTGTTTCAAATATCTAAATAATAAAATAAAATAAAAAGGAACTGTAAAAATACTGTTTTCCCTCAATTTCATTACAAAATAAAGGAAACATAGGATGGGTCAGTGAAAGAATATTGAAATAAGTTGTACCAGACTAAAATAACGCAAATAATATTATGTTTTAATCTCCAAATTTAGTTCTATATATTTCCAACCTGAAGCGTTAAATGTGCTAAAGTGACTAAATATTTGAACTGTTTCTTTTTAACAAACATAAAGAAAGTCTGGTGAAAATTGCGTTCATATTTCTAGAAATAGAAAAAAATAATTATTTTATAAAAAAAAACAATTGTTTGCCTTTGACATATGAAATTAAAGAACAGTTCTTGACTCTCTGCCTAAGGGAATGTTTGTCCATAAATTTGGCTCATCTTCATCTTCATCTTCCTAGCTTCAAATGCAGGCTTGCAATTAAGAGAATTAGAGAAGCATGTTAAAAATCATCTACATTAATGTGAAAAGTGTTTTCATTCCTCACTCATTTGGTCTTTTTATTACAAAGAAAAAGAGAATTGTGTTTTCAATATCAGAAAAGTGCCCATAATCTCTATAAACAGGCCACTCTCTCATCAGTCACTTAACCCACACTTCCCTGCTGATGTTTTTGGTCCTATGACAGAATATTTATTCTTTCAAGACTATTGGAATGAAACAATAAAGAGCTTTTTTTAAAAAATGCTAATGAATTTTTAAAGCATTAACCAAAAACTATTTCCCATACCCCTACAGGTACAACCCAAAACAAAGTTCTATACACATATCTATAGCCAGATCCTCCTAGTGTAGACTTGTGACACTTCCTCTCATTGAGACTCAAAGAGAGTCATGTCTGCTTTCTAAATGCTACAGTTTTCTGAAAGGAAAGACTCATTATAACATGTGTAGAAAACTGTAATCTATCTTTACCACTTGGTGTAGTCATGGTATGCTCTTGCCATATCTTGCTTAACTTGATAGACTCAAAACACAGCATCCCTCACCAGTATTTAAATCCAAAGATTCTTTATGTCTCACTAATATACCATGACTTAGGCTCTGCAATTAGATCAATAGTTATTACCGGATCTCGTAGGTCTCTGAATGTTTGTCTTCAAGTCCTTGGGGCTTCAGATTGATTCCAGCTCCTTCCAGAGACAGCTGTCAGTGGGACAGGCTCTGCTCTAAACATCTCAGAAGATGTCGCAATCGGGAATTTCCCAACTGGAGACAATTTAATCATGGCCTCAAATATGATGAATGCCGTCGGGGAAGTCTTGTTAGGCATGTTCTCAGCCAGTGATAAGAAAGATGGTGTTAATGGAACTGAGTCCTGCTCCTGCCAAGCCAGTCCTTGAGTTGTGTGCCTCAAGGGTCAGAGGGATTGAAAACTTTTCAGCAGACTACAGACTCTCCATTCAGAAAATAAAACCTGAGCCCAGTTATATAATCATCTCTATAAAATTCTTAGTACTCCACCCTATCCGATTCCAACACCTTTCATGCTGTTGAATTCTCAGTTAGTGCTTTGACCTTCCTATATTTCTTTTATCTTAAGTAAACCAAGTTTTAAAATCCTCAGAAAATATTGCATTCAATTCCAACTCCTTTATAGAAACTATTTCCTTCAAGATCTCCAGATAGCTATAGATAAAAATTCAGGCCTTTTTCTACTCTCCAACCATTCTTTTCCCTTCCCTTCCCTTCTCTCCCTCCTCTTTTTTCCCCTCACCTCTGCTCCCCTCCTTTCCTCTTCCCTTTGCTCCCCTTTTCTTGCCACACAACCAACTTCACTTATTGCATCTGCAGTAAGTGGAGACTTGATATTAGAGACGCCGTAAAGAATTTTAGAACTGGATAGATTTCTATTTGGAGGAGAGAGCCTTAATGAAAAATTACAAAGAATATATATCTAATTTGGTAAAATTAGACCAAACTTCTAAAATGATTCCTAAATTTTGATTTCATGTATTGGAAAGTCATGCAGCCATTTGGGGCGTGAACAATCAGATGGAAGATATTCTCTCTCTCTGTAACTCTGCCTTTCAAATAAATAAATAAATTTCTAAAAGAGAAAGTTAAAATCAACTGAAGGTTTATGTCAGAACAAAGGTTAGAAAGGATTACCTGTGCAGTGTTACTGTTTAAATTGAAAGTCACAAAGAATACTAGATGTATATGTGTACATGTATATAATATGGTACACACACATATACATATATAGGTTGTTCACAGATTCCAAGGATTATTAAGTGAATATATGTTTGAGAGGGACATTTTTACCCCTGGCCAACTGCAAGCACACAGGTGGATATAGTAGAATTGATAATCTTTTTTTCTCATGTTGGGTCTGTGTTTAGGTTGTTTGATTTGTTGTTATATTTTATAACATATATGTAGCATGTATTCTTTTGACTATCTCAAATATTACATGACTGTTTTTGATAAAGTTAACCTTTGAGAGACTCATAATTTAGTGGTTGTTATGAACTGAATAGGACTTAGCTCCCCAAATTCAGGCAGATGGCTAAACTCTTGAAGTCTTAATATTAAAGACTGATGGATCAAGGATATGGAGATTTGATGTGATTAAGACATGTGAGAGGTGAATCTCATGGGAGATCTTTAAGCCACTCTGAGTGGAAAAATGACATCCTGGTTAGTTGACAAGAATTAGGAGAAGGAACACTTTGGGCAGCCAACATCCTTAAATCACATATTTCTCCTTCCTTGTATATCAGTTCCATTGCCAAAGGTCATTGTGATTGGTGGCCATATTTCCTCACTGTCCAGTTCCCATGGTACCAAAAAGACTAGTCACTAAATGAAGCCCTAGTCTCACAGCCTTCCCTCTCCTAACCAGTCCTTTAGTAGGGCAACCTTCTCCACCCAATTTGCATTTCTTAGTTCCTTCCCACTGCCAAAATATTTCTTCCTATTTGGGTCCCAATAACCTCCACTGTCAGGATCTGTACTTACTCCCTTGATGGTTGCCTAAGTTGTGTGGAAGGAAAAAAAGCTTCACATGACTATGGATAAGAGAATGTTTGTTTTTGCTGATGATCATCGCAACTAGGAATGCAATTACAAGAGATATTTTCCTGGAATTTTGTTAGAGTTCAAGTGCGGATTTAGATTTTATTAATGATACATAGTAATATATGGTGAATTAACCAGACTTAGGTGAGATGACACAGGAATTCAGCCATCAAATACAGCAGTGCTATGCAAATTGTGACCTGTAAGCCAAGGAACATCAGTGCCCTTAGCATCTTGTTAAAATGCTGTTTCTTTGGGTCTCACTCCAGACATACTAAATCAGGCTCTCTGGACTTGTATCTCTGTTTTACCGGGCTCTCTAGAAGATAGTCATGCATGTTGAAATCTGAGAAGCTCTGTTCTAAAGCACTATTTTCACTGGAAAATAATTTGTAAGTTACATTAACATTTAGAGCCAACCTATTATTAAGTGCAGACACTGCTGGCTTTATTAAAATGAGAAAACAGACAACCCCCTTCATTCCAGTAAAAGACTATTGATGCCATCTCCAAGGGCAGATCAGGTAGTAGAGCCCTTCCCTCCACCTCTTCCAACTTTAAGATAATGATCTATTTGTACATCCTTGAGCAACACGCACGTGCACCTCATTTGTGAGGACAGAAAATACTACTAATGTGCAGAAACACTGAAGGACTCATTCCTGCCCCAACACCCTACTTTAGCAACTGCATTTTTAACTGCAGGAGGACATACTATTAATAAGGTTAGTGATGTAAATAAGGTTAATGTATGCTGTTCTCTATTTTCAGCTTAGCTTAATTAACCTCAGCTCAAGTGCCACTTACTACCCAAAAGCAAAGTTCAGATGTTTAGGTCCGTGTATTCCTGAAGATTTTAGCAGTCTTCATACATATTAGATTCAATACTGACTGATTAGTGGAGGTAATTTTCTTTTCCTTCTCAAAGAATGCTTGAGTTTTAGAAAACAAATGGCTCTTGTGTAAAAGAAATCTATGAATTAATAAGAAAAATAATAGTGATGTTGTGAAAAAAATCAAACCTAATAATTTCATTTTATTTCAGTTCAATTTAACATTGTTTTAAATTAATTTTTTATTTATTGGGAATCAGAGACAGACACAGAGAGATACCATCTGTTGGTTCATTTTCCAAATGCCCACACAGGCAAGGGAAGGGCCTGGTAGAACTGGGAACTCAGTCCCGGTCTCCCACATGGATGGTAGAAAGCCAATTTACTTGAGTCATTACCTGCTGCCTCCCTAAGTGTGCAATAGCAAGAAGCTGGAATTAGAAGTGGAAACAGTATGCAAACTCAGGCATTCTCATATGAGATGTGGCTGTCTTAACTACTAAGCCAAATACTCGCCCATTAATATTGTGTGATAAAAACAGATCACAGCAACCTACAATAGAAAATTAAGATGTAAGAGTTGTAGCAAAAGTAACTAATGTACTATGTAGGCTAAGATAACTTATGAATATTTGTATTAAGTCTTTACTGATTTGTCGCTAGAAATACTGGACCAATTTGGGATTGGAGTAAGGCCTGAATTCAAATCCTGATTGCACTATTTTCCATGAAACTTTGAATACATATTCTCAATATCTCCGCTTTGTAAAACTGGTGTAATACTACTAATGTTGCATTATTTTTAAGGCTGTCATTATCCATATATAGTCATTAGTAATGTACTAGTTTTCCCTATTTTCCTTACGTTAAACTTTTCCAAGATTAAGTTCCTGGAAGTGCTTTGTATTTTTATAGAGTTTTTTCCTCACAATTTTTTATTCAAAGTCTAACATTCTCATTGAACAAAGATGTGCATCATCTATCAATTTTTAGAGTAAGAGTCCCCTACTTGAGGAAAAACACAAGCAGTCTCCAAAAATAACGTACCCTCTAGTGGCAAATCTGAGTAACTGCATAGTCTCTAGAAAATGTAGCTTAAAACACAATGTGAATGTGAGAATGTTATTTTCAATAGCATTTTTTTTTTTTTTGTCCATAGGCTTATTAGCTGCACATCCTTTTTGGGGCACTTATTGAATTAGCTTCATAAGAGTTAAATTTTAGAACTGCAAAACACAAAACACTGAAAGATTTGCACTAATTCTAATATAACCACAAAGCATATTTCCTTATTAATGGCACAGATTTCTGGACCTGTGGGTAATCTGGCAGATCTAAATACTGTATGGTCATTTGAAACTCAAGTGTGAGGGCTTGCACTGTGGCATAACAGGTAAAGCCGCCGCCTGAAGTTCCGGCATCCCAGCCAGATACTAGTTTACTTAAAGAAAATCAGGTTTGGAGAACCAATTTAGACTAACCAAAAACAATAAGGAAGAATTAATAATCTAAAATATCAATGTTTTAAATGTACATAGAGCCGGCGCCGCGGCTTACTAGGCTAATCCTCCACCTTGCAGCGCCGGCACACTGGGTTCTAGTCCTGGTCGGGGCGCCGGATTCTGTCCCGGTTGCCCCTCTTCCAGGCCAGCTCTCTGCTGTGGCCCGGGAGTGCAGTGGAGGATGGCCCAAGTGCTTGGGCCCTGCACCCCATGGGAGACCAGGAGAAGTACCTGGCTCCTGCCATCGGATCAGCGCGGTGTACCGGCCGGGGCGGACATTGTAGGGTGAACCAACGGCAAAGGAAGACCTTTCTCTCTGTCTCTCTCTCATTCACTGTCCACTCTGCCTGTTTTTTTAAAAAAAATGTACATAGAAGCTATCTGCTGTTCAATAGCTTCATTACTTACACTGGCTACTCTAGGAATTTCCAAATTAGCAGATGAATCTATGCTGAAGCTGTTACTGTAAGAAGATTGTCTGATACGTAAGAGCAAAAGAAATTATCTAAATAATGTATTTTTTTTTTTTTGACAGGCAGAGTTAGAGAGAGAGATACAGAGAGAAAGGTCTTCCTTCCGTTGGTTCACCACCCAAATGCCCGCTACGGCTGCGCTGATCCGAAGCCAGGAGCCAGGTGCTTCCTCCCAGTCTCCCAAGCAGGTGCAGGGCCCAAGCACTTGGGCCATCCTCCACTGCCTTCCCGGGCCACAGCAGAGAGCTGGACTGGAAGAGGAGCAACCGAGACAGAATCGGCGCCCCAACCAGGACTAGAACCCCGGGGTTCTGGCACCGCAGGTGGAGGATTAGCCAAGTGAGCTGCGGTGCCGGCCTTAAATAATGTCTTATAGCAACAAAATATATGAGATAATATGTATTGAATGATAATATGGATCATGCACTAATTACATTAGAATATTTGGCATAGAGATGCCATTCAATAGACTTTTTTTTCAAGAAATGGGTAGAGATCTCACAAAAGTACTTGGAGATAGGTACTCCTACTGTTCCCATGGAAGGATGTGAAATCTCATGAAATTAATAGCTCTCCCTATTTATAGCATGACTGAGCAGAAACTCAAACTCAGGTCACTCTGAGTCTCCAGCTCATACTCATAACATTTTTGTTAAACTGCTTTCTTGAATAACTATATATTCATCTTCATTGAATATGCTCAGTTCTGGGTTCCTGTATGTGTGTCCTGTAGACCTTGACCTTATTATGGCATCACCCTGCTATGATATTTTGAATTGGTTTACAGTTTACTTTGGCTATAACTGAATATCTTTGAAGAGATCTTCGACCAGTTATGATAATCAGCATCATACCCGAAAACTACTTTTGTAGGTGGGTTATTTAAGTAAACAGTTCATCTCACCTGTGTTTTTATTTGTTCTTCAAAAAGATATTTTCAAATGAAAATATGAGAATATCATTTTATTTGTGTGCCATAAACACTTTTCCTAGCTTGACTGAGATTATATATAACTTTTAGAATCTGATCTTTTGGAGGAGGGCTGAGACAATGGCCAACTGAGATATGGAAAACCAGATGAGGTTTGCATCGGGAAACTTGGGTCCCTTTCCATGTCTTCTAATATTTTTCTTTTCTTCCATCTGGCCTCTGTTCCTTTTTTTTCTCACTCTAACATCTATCCGGCTACTTCTCACTTCTCCCCTCTGACTTTGATAGAGAAAATACACATTCAATTGGTATTTTTCCCTTTCACCAGATTTCCTTCTACACAGATTAGAGAAAGGTATCCTGCTAATTATTTAAAATAACCAGGATAGCTTCAATGACAAAAAAAAATCAGCAGAGTTCATAGTAAGAACCTACAAATTACAGGAAATATGAAGGAAAGTGGAAAATGCTAAGTGATACTACTAGAACATAATCAGCAAAATCTCAGTGGTATTAAACTACAATACAAAAGACACAGATTCTTCAACAATAAGCAAAAAATACAAGAAAAAAAGAAATGGAAGATGGACCTATTGACCTAAATATACAAGAAATAACATCAACCAATAAAAGGTGAAGACAAATTTAAAAAATGTAATAGATTTTGATATTTATGAGATAATTGGAAATTTGAGCACTGGATAGATACTTAATAGTAAAGAGATTTGGGATGTGATATTAGAATGATAAAAAGAGACCTTATTTTTTGTAAATACCTGCTGTGAAATACTCATAGATGAAATGTGTGATGCTTAAAATTTGTTTCAAATTAATAGGGGAGGAGGGAAGTGGCTATACATAAGAGGAAACAATGGCTATGCATTGATAAGAGTTGAAACTGAGAAATGCCTATAAAAGGATTCATTAAAATTTGTGGTTAACATTGCATATGTTTAAATTTTTCTGTATTACAAGGGAAAAGAATAATTGACAAGAACTGCTTTGGGGCTAGAGAACAGACAGTATTTATTTATTTATTTATTTATTTATTAGTTTTGGAATATTTTATTATTAGATATTATACTTTGAAAGGCTAAAGTTTGCAAGAATGTAGTATCTCTTAATATCCATAGCTTCCATGGCCACAGTCCAGGCTACTGAGGCATCCAAGCCAAAGCCCTGTCTTCCACAGTGGCTGCCATAGTAGTTCATGGTGTCAGGTGGTGGGCTTGGTTTGCTACTGCAGGTCAATTTTGTGTGTGTGACGGATCAGGGACATTTACATGCAGTCTCATGTATGTTGGAAAGCCACAACTCTAAATGCCATCCATTAGAGCATATTACTTGAACACTAGGCCAACTCTCTTGTTCCCTAATTCTCAACCACATCTTCCACTTCTTCATGCAATTAATTATTTAAAAGTTGTGAGCATGTTTGATGCTGTGCTCATTTACATCCCTAGAAAAACATTTTGCCTTTCATAAAATTCTAGCATTTAAAATCTCCTTGCATGTTTGAGTTTCTGAGTTTTAAACTACATAAATAAAGCTGAGAAGAGACAGTATTTAAATTGTCTCTCGAGTTTCATTGTCTGGCGACTGGGAGAACTTCATTTACTTGACATTTATTTGGCATCAAGAAGAAAGAAAAATGAATTGGAGTTTCAAAATACTGAGCTTGATGTAATGAGAAGCTACCCAGGGAGTGAATACAGAAAATACATGGCAATAAATTCATAAATACCAGTTGACAGTTCAGATTAATGAATGAGAGATGTTAGGTCTCTTCCAAGACCAAAACCAGGGTCAAGTATTGGGTACAAGGGTTAAGCCGCATTCCATATTGAAGAGTCTGGTTTGAGTCTTGGCTCTGCTTCTGATTCCAGCTTCCTGCTAATGAGCAACCTATGATGCAGCAGGCAATTGCTTCAAGTTTTTGGGTCCCTGCTACCCACATCAGAGTCCTGGACTGAGTTCCAGACTGTTGGCTTCAGCCTAGCCAGGCCTACTATTGTGGGCATTTGGGAAGTGAAGCAGCAGATAAGAGATTTCTGTCACTGTTTGTCTCTATCTCTTTCTGTTTTGCTGTCTTTCAAATAAACAAAGTAAAATTAAGAAAAGTTTTTAAACTTTGTCCATATTTTATGAATATAGACTAGTAGAAAGGCACTTACTTTGAAAAATATAGGAGACTGCAGGAATAAAATGATTTTTTTTAAACAGAATTAATGAAACAATTGAGTCTTCAAGTGGTTACAGTACTATGAATATTTGTCACTAGTCGCTGGGATTCTCATGTCAGATTAGTAAAGGCTACCTACAAAGTTCACTGAAATATTTGAAATAAAGGCTCCTGAATGATCTCTTAGCAAGTTATTCTTTCCAAATTGAAAGAAAAGGAGAGGGTTTAAATAAATAGGAATGCTTTAGGCTTCCTAGCCAAAGTTGAGGGACTTGGCAATATAATAGCAAAAACGGATTCTTGTGAAGCCTTTGTACGTATTCTGTATACTATTCTGAATAGAAGACATTATTTGTCTCATTTATATTTTATACATTAAATTCTACCAAATGATATCCAAAAGTTTCTTTGCATAAAATATGTGATCATAATTGTGTGCAGTTAATATGATTTCCCAGGAAAGGTGGTGCTTTCTAGAAATTTTGGAAGGTTGGAGGAGCCACTTCGGGGGAAGTGGTACAACTTGGGGCAGTTGTGCATCCTGATATATGTATAAGTGGGAATGTTTCTGGATCCTATGAGTGCCAGGATGGTGACGGTGATTTCAGAATCATTTTACTTAGTTGTGTTTTGTGCTTTCTGGTCAAAGTCCAAAGGGATGCAGGAAGAATAACAGCAGTTATTCTAGGGCACACTCTTTGTTTCCCAACTTCCTGAATCCAGCTTGAGGTTACCTGTTGCCTCCCAATCTACCCTTGTTTTCTCCTCCCTGGGAAGTTAAAGTGAGATGACCTCATTTCAATTTATATCTTAGTTGCCCTTTTTTTTTTTTTAAACTCTATTGAAAAAGAACAAGTAATAACCCCACTGTACTGATGGAGAGACTGAGTTTTTTGACAATACAAAACAATTTACTCAGCGTGAGGCATCCCAAGAGGAGTCAGTATTTACTTCCAGGGCTATTTTTTGTTTTTCCTTTTTGAAAACAGTGAAGGTTCACAACTCACAATCTGAGTTTATAAGAGAAAGAGAATAACAAGATTTGAAAAGAAGTTTCACCTCTCCAGGAATATGTTCTGTAAGGTATTTCTAGATAAATTTCCAATTAAAAGATCAAATTTCCTTAAATTGGAAAAAAAAATCAAAATGACCAATGAGAGTTTTGTTGATGCCAGTATATTTCTAAAGTCAGAAGTACAGAAAGAAACACAGAATCCCAAACATTATAGGTCATTGAGTATGAGAGAACAAAGTATTTCAGGAAAATAAATGGATAATTCTTTAAATCCAGAACTACTTTTTATCTTTTGCCATCATAGAAATCATTTCATTGTAAACTTCTTGAGGAGCATTCATTGCCCAGATAAAATCCAAGTGATTATATGGAAGAATCTCCTTGTGGTAAATGAGATTAGAAAGTTTTGGAAGCAAAAGGTCAACATCTTGGGGGTCAGCCAACCAGTCATTGCCACCACTCCACACTGCAATTGGCACATTCATGGCGGTCACATTGTAGTAGGGAGGTGTGGGCTAAAAAACATGAGTGGAAAAAGCAGAGTTTAAGTAATCATACATTAAATCTAGTAGTTGTTCACTAACTTAGTTTTATAAGCAAATTCTAACATTGTTCAGAGGAAGCCACCTTTATCCATACAGAAAGGTAGATGCAATGTATTTTAGACTCATGCTTCTCAAACTTTAATGGGTCTGTTGAATCACCTGTGGATTTTGTTCAAACAAAAGTATTGATTCATAATTTGGGGTAAGACCTTGAGATTCTGCATTTGTAAGTGGCTGGTTTTGCTTTTGGTCCCAAACCATGCTGCAAACAGCAAAGCTTTAGACAACAATTCTTAAAACTTAAAACTGGGATTTCAATTCAAGTTCCAGGAAGTAGATTTGATTAGATTCAAACCATAATAGTTTTTTTTTTCTACCCAAACACTCTGAAGTACGATCTCAAAATGTCTTGAATTATTTATTTCAGCTTTGTATTGACTAACCAGTAAGGTTAGGAAATAGGTCTGTCAGTCAAATTTTGGAGCTATATTTGTTGAATACTTACCTGACTTTACTAAATATTGCTTCAAATTGTCAGAAATTTTATCCTAAGCCCCATTTCCTCTTTCTAGAAAATCACAGTTAACATACATATTTAAGGAGATTCATAAATAGGAAAGCAAACAGGAGAATCACTTCTAACTGTCCCAAAATCCAGATAATTTTGTTAGACATTTTTAAGATTAGGCTTTCAAGAATACTAATCCAACATACTAAAAGTCTCTCCTTTGCACCTTATGTAACAGCCAATTTGCCACAGCAAAAATATTTTATCACACTTTTTTAGAGTATTTAAAAACTTTCTGTTATATTTCCTTATATAAAGGAAGGCCTCGGAATTGGGTATCTCTAAGGTCTCTCCTGACCTTCGAAGCAGATGCCCTCTGATTACTAGTATTTAGAGCCCAGTAGAGAGAGATTGTAAAGAAGCCTGTGTTTGGGGATTTCAGAAGGCCGTAGTTGGGGGAAAGGTATCTTCAAAAGGAGTTTGATCTCATAGTGTTCTGAAAATCTCTTTAAAGACATCCAATGTGTATTATAAAGGAAAAGTATGATCTTTTTACACATATGATATTATTATGAAAACAAATTCCTTCCAAATTATGATTCATGAACAAAGAAGAAAGTTTGTAGAGTTGTTCAGCTACTACTTGGATGAAAAATTAGTAGTGAATGAAAAGGAAAAAGAGAGGGTTACAAAATAATGTAGGTAGGGTCCTTCCTGTTTCAAAATTAGTCAGTGAAAAGCTGAGAGTTTACCCAAATCTAAAGGCTTAGAGATATTACCCCATTAAATTCTTCAATAACACCCTGACTCTGGTAGAGAGGTGAAGAGTGTATTGCCCAAATTCATAATGACAATAAGATGAGCCATAATGTCGAAGTTCTTTGTATTGCCACAAATATAAGGACTGCTCAACATGTCTACCTATCCCATAATGCTTCTGTTTGCAGAAAAAGCATTTTCAACCTTGTCTGGCATTCAAGCACATTGTCTTTTTCTTAAAATAAAATAGATCTTCATAAAAATTAAGACTAAGATTAAGAGAGGGAAAAGGAAGAAGGGTGGAAGCATGGGCAGGAGGGAGGGGAAGGTAGGAAGTATCATTATGTTTCTGAGTCTGTATATAGGAAATACATAAAATTTGTATACCTTAAATAAAATTAACTAAAAAAGGAAATATGGTTGGGGCCGGCACTGTGGCGCACTAGGTTAATCCTCTGCCTAAGGCACCGGCATCCCACATGGGCGCCGGTTCTAGTCCCAGTTGCTCCTTTTCCAGTCTAGCTCTCTGCTGTGGCCTGGGAAAGCAGTAGAGGATGGCCCAAGTGCTTGGGCCCTGTACCTGCTTGGGAGACCAGGAGGAAGCACCTGGCTCCTGGCTTCAGACTGGCGCAGCTCCAGCCGTTGTGGCCATTTGGGGAGTGAATCAATGGAAAGAAGACCTTTCTTTCTGTCTCTCTCTCACTGCCTGTAACTCTACCTGTCAAATAAATAAAATATTAAAAAAAAAACAAAGAAATATGGCAGTGATTTCCAGCGAAATCACTCCTCTGACTGTCATCAAAAGAGAGTGTTGTTTAAGACCAGATATTTCACCCCTATCTCATGAACAGTTTGAATTATTAGTTTATTCTATCAGTGAATTATACTTCAGAAAGGAGAGAAGGGCAGGCTGGAGGACTGGGATACAGGGAAGATCAGTGTATTGGCAGTAGGTGGTGATAACTTCTAGAAGCTTCTCTCATGGGGAGGTTCCTTGGAAGGCAGCTTGAATGAGCATAACTGCTGAAGAATGACAGCTTGGGTCACGTGAGAAAAAGGGGATTCAACATTTCTTTAGGAAACTGATGTACAGTTATAGTAGCTTTTTATTTCTTTCTTTTTATCTTTGTCTTTGAAATGTGCATAATCCCAGCATTAAGTAGCTTACCTGATTGAAGTGCACTACATTCTGAGCTGGACTTCCCCAATTAAAAGCTTGAAAATTTCCAGATTTAACAGCCTAATGCAGAGAAATTAAATACACAAATAAATTGAAATTTCCCATATTACATGAAAAATAAAATGAAACATTTTCAAGTAATTTGTTTTCAATTTAGTCAATTATTGGAAAACATTTCTCATTTTAGAAATGATTATTAATCCTCTAGGATAAGGCATTTATGCAAAATTAAATGTAGCTTTGCTTGAAATAATTTTTCTTGCATACCATGTCATAAAAGTCATTCATCTCTTTGCTACCCAAGCACTGATTTTCATAGTATTTTCATTCATATGGATTGTTTTTATAGGGTAATCATATACCAAAAATTGTTACTGCCAGAAACATTTGATGGGATATTTTAAGAACATGCTTTAGGTAAAATACGAAACATTTAGCTCCTCAAAATAATTCAATAGCATTTAAAAAATGATACCTGGGTCCAGTGCAGCATGTTTTGAACTGAAGTTCCTGCCGGATTATGTGACACGTACACATCCAAGCGACTCTAGAAATCAACCAATGTATATATATACATATGTATATACGTATATATATATATATGCATATTTAGATACATATTTGGTTTCTCAAAAATAGCTAAGACCTAAGTTTTCTGCTCCAGGTCAAGACTTAGGAAGTGTTCATTAGAAGGACATGAACAACATAGTTGTATGTCACTTTAGAATTTACAAAGCACAATTGCATGTGTTATTTCACTTAATTTTTAGTCACTCAATGAAAACTTATCTCTATTTTATAAAAACGGAAATTAGAGCTCAAAGTAGTCTAGAGAAGACCAGTGTCCCACATTTAAGAGAATAGAGCCAGAGACTAGATCTCTGAGTCTACATTCTCGGAATTTTATTCTTCTGTTACCTAGCACAATAGTGCAAGAAATTAAATATTCACCCTATGCTTTGCATATTTGCAGAATTTTAATGTATGATATTTATATACCATATATGTAATACATAAATGGTCTCATATAATTTCCAATTATGTCATCCTATTGAGGCCTTGATCCACCTTGCTTAGATGCCAGACAGCAAACTGGAGTGCCCTTCTTGAATTACATAGGCTTATTCTTAATGTGTCTTAATGCCACTGATTAGACAACTGTGGACAAACACATCAATTATTTTCATTGGGAATTGTAGCCTTACTCCATGTAGTTATCAGACAGAAGACAAAATCTCTCATTTACTTTGTTCCCTGTGTCTCTACTATTATTTTCCTCATAAAACTCCATATCATTGAAATGAGATAATCTACACTACTTTTTCTCAGTGTGATAATACTGCTCTGTTGAACTCCACATACAGAATGACAAACATATCCAGAATAATGCAGAAGGACTTTTTTTCTAAAAGAGGAAGAAAGAGGTCCTTATTTTCCATCAAGATGGGAACCAGAGAAAGTTTCATTTTTTTACCTCTGGCTATTTAAAAACATTCAGAAATGATCACCAGCATTGAGAGAGAAAACTGAAGCCAGGAGCTATATCTGTCTTTTTTTACCACTGTGTTGTCAATACCTACAGCACTTTGTAGATTTGTACCTTCTTTCCAATGAACTTGATTTTCCAGGGTATTCAAGAGTATAACTAAACTAATGGTTGAACAGGTATAGTTGTCTATTTATAATAGCAAAAGGTATATAATTTACTCTATATGCCTTTATACCTTACATAGTTCATTTGATCTTCACAATAAGCCAGATGCTTTACTTTTTTTGTGGATGAGGAAACTAAAACTGAAATTTTTAAGTAATTTTCAGAAGTAGGGTTTGAATTTAAGCTGATCCTAATCCAAATTTTTAATTATATCCTTTATGATATTGTACTTTGTCACATTAAAACCATCAACTCAATGCAAATTGACTGAAAATTCAAATTAAAAAAATATGAATAAGGTCTTAGAAAAATAATTTTCTGAAATGTGCTTTGTAAAATTTATGGAAATGACTATCAACATTCTAAATATTATAAGAATATTTATTCAATGCCTGGACATTGTTTTCCACAGAAGAGATTAAATATGTTTCATCCCTTCCCTCATAGAATTTAAATGCACAATTATTTTGGTGGTCACAGTGAATCATGAATCAGTTTGTCTGTTTTTCTGCATGCTGTTTATTTACTTCAGGGGCAATTGGGGTGTTGGGAGGGATTTGGAGATGATCAAACTAGGAGCAATGACTTGCGATTTCTTTTGATTCTATTGGATTCTCATGAATACAGTTCTGAAGCTAGTCCTAATTTTTATGAAGAATTATTTCTATAAATTATTTCTATTTTATAAAGTACTAGTTAAAACAGCGGCTTTTCAGAATATTCAGAATGAAATACAAACCATGTTCAAGTTTGCGCTGTCAAAGCCACAAATGATAAATAAGGCATTGCTGCAAATTACATTCAGTGTCTCACGGGAACACACTTGAGTGGCAAGAAATTGATCAAAGAAATTGTGTGGGTAGAATATTTTGTCACCAAATATAATCTGAAAAATAAAAGCACCATTAGTTGGGTTGTAGCACTGAAATGTCAGAAAAGATTTGTTCAATTATTCTAATGTGTTTATATAGAGGTGATAAGCCTAGTGATAGTTCTTTATTTCTACATGTTGCTTTGGAATTTTCAATACTTTCCTTCATTTAATTCTCAAAAAATAAAATGGTGAAATAGACGAGGAAGATATCAACACCAGGTATGTACTGCTGTCCTGAGAACTGAACTGTCTGCCAAGAGAAAGTATAAGACACATAGAATTACCATCACTCTTACTCTCATTAGAGCATAAATTCATAAAACAAGATGGCAGAATGTCATAAGTAAGAAATCCATGTTGTAAAGATTATCTTTTTGCTTTAAAGATTATCTTTAAAGATTATCTATTTGCTAGCAGTATGCTACAGGATAAGGCACTTAATGCTTGTGGTTTATTGAAGTCCCTAACACTGCCTTACAAAATCCTCATTTAAAGATGAAGTAGCTTCTAAGAAAGGCAAGAGTATTTGATGAGGGGCCTCAAACCATTTGCCTCACATAACCATTCATTTCTTTTCCCTCTCTCTACTTATCCCTTCTCTTCCTTTCCTTTTTTTCCCCTCTTCTTTGCAGCTTCTATGTTCCTTTTGGGTTAAGCTTCTTATCTAACTATTTTGTTTTGTTTTTATTCCCTATTTGCTGCTCTAGTACTGAAATTGCAGCTTTGACACAACTGTGAAGTATGCTAGCAAATGAAACATCTATGAAAAACCTGAAAACATTTGTAGGCATTGCTAATATACAAAAAACTAATCAAGAACAAAGAAATAAATGGGAATGGGGAGGGGGTGGACAAGCGCTGTGGCTGTATAGGTTAAGCCTCCACCTGTGGTACTGGCATCCCATATGGGAACCAGTTTGTGTCCAGACTGCTCCTTTTCTGATTCGGCTCTCTGTTTATGGCCTGGGACAGCAGTGGAAGGTGGCCCAAGCACTTAGGCCCTTGTACCCACATAGGAGACCCAGAAGAAGATCCTGGATCCTAGCATCTGATCAGCCCAGCTCTGGCTGTTGTGGCCATTCGGGGAATGAACCAGCCAGTGGAAGACTTTTCTCTCGGTCTCTGCCTCTCTCTGTTACTCTACCTCTCAAAATAAATAATCTAAAAAAGGAAGGAAGGAAGGAAGAGAGAGAGAAAAACAGAGAAAGAAAGAGAAAGATAAAAAGAGGAAGGAAGGAAGGAAGGAAGGAAGGAAGGAAGGAAGGAAGGAAGGAAGGAAGGAAGGAAGGAAGGAAGGGGAACCTTGCAGGTGGTGGGGAGGATTTAATGAAGGTCACTGCTGTTAAAGAGATCATATATTTGTGTGCAGCTCCATTTTGCATGGTCCACCAGATGTTTTTGTTCTCCTTCTGTCATCTTTAAGTCCATGAGCAACTGGGTACCTTAGATTCAAAAAAGATTACATACCTTGAACATGGTTGGAGGAATAAACCTAAGTTTGTTTACAAGGCTTTTTGTATACTTCACAGTGGCGACTGGAGCTAATGCATAAAAGGTTTTGATTCTTTCAGCCAACTTGGGATTTGTAGAAAAGGCAATAAAACCTGAAATAGAACAAGGAATCTTTTATTTTAAAGTGGCATGTGTACTTGTGTGTCTATGTGTGCATCTACACAGGTTAGCATTGTCTTGTTTTCATGTGTGTGATATTATCTTGAATCTACTGAGGGTGACATTTGACAGAATCTGAAAAATCATTCCTGTTGGTCACAGTGATCAGATTTCAATATATTTGTTTTATTTTCATAGATTCTCTATGGAGCATGAGGTCATAATTTTTAAAAAGTTATTGTAAACTTTTTTAAATGATTTTTTCTGATCTAAGAAATTAGATGGAATTTAGGATAATAAAATGATTATAAAATGGCTATTTATACTAAATAATACTATATTGAAATGAATTAAAATTCATCTCTTCACAATGTTGGTTATATTTTAAGCATTTGTTTCTAACTTTTCCACTTATATAGTCTATTCACATTAAGTGTTAATTCATGATCTCATTGTGAAGACTCACATGGCTTAACCATGAGTTTAACCAGAGTCTCATGGTTAATAGACAACAGAACCAGCATTCAATTCCAGTTTGGTTATATTTTAAGCATTTGTTTCTAACTTTTCCACTTATATAGTCTGTTCACATTAAGTGTTAATTCATGATCTACTGGAATTGAATGCTGGTTCTGTTGTCTATTAACCATGAGACTCTGGTTAAACTCTGGTTAAACCTTAAAAGGTCCTCTATTTCTTCATCTGAAATATGGAGATAATAATGGGTGCTTCATTAATTTTTTAACAACTTAAGGTGGTAAATCATGTAAAAATTTTATAACACCTCAAACAAAGTAAATGCTTGATAAATGAGTAACTAAGAAAATCCGAACATCTATACACAGTAAGTATATAGAGCCTCTGTCTGGAATTAATTGGTTTTATAAACAGTAACATATTAGCAGACTAATATGGTATCAAATAGTTATTAAGTTACATTCCCCACAGTCTAAATACATAGAACAAGCCTTCGCATTGTTAGTAGGTACATACTGATGAGGTTCAAGAATGAGCCTGAAACAAACTTCTAGAGAGGCTGGCATTTTGGCATAGTGAGTTAAGACACGCCTGTGATGGAGCATCCCATATAGGTGCTGGTTTCTGTTCCAGCTGCTCCACTTCTGATCCAGCTCCCTACTAGAGGCCTCAGAAAAGCAGCAAAAATGGCTCAACTGCTTGAGCCTCTGCCACCCAACGTGGGAGACCTGGAAGAAGCTCCCAGCTCCTGGCTTCAGCTTGGTCCAGCCCTGGCCATTTCGGTCATCTGGGGAGTGAACCAACCAATGGAAGATCAATCTCTCTCTCTTTCTCTCTCTCTCTCTCTCCCCCCCTCCTTTCCTCTCTCTCTCCCCCTCTGTAACTCTTTCAAATAAGTGAATAAATGTTTTTTAAAAGTACATTTGGACCCTGATCATGTCTCACTACCTCCACAACCACTATCACTACTTCACTATCACGTTCAGTATAGGGTACTCTTAGTCCTCTAATAGATTCTGTGTTCCTTCCATTTCTTGTTACCCCTCAGCAACTGGAGGGCTCCTATGACAGATAGCTCCTCTACTCAAAATTCCTGTGGTTTCCTTCTCCACTCAGTGTGAAAGCCGAGAGCCCTACAACAGCTAAAAGAGTCCTGAACAGTCTGTCTTCATCAACTCTTATAATTACCCCTCTCTCTTTCTCTGATTCATCCACACAAGGAATAGGTTCAATGCTGTTTTTTTGAACATCCTAGGTGAGCTCCAGCCTCAAATACTTTAAACTTCTGTCAGGTAAGCACATGACTCATGTCCACATCCCTCGGACACTCCCTTGTATCCTTCTCCAGTTTGTTTTCTGTCCATAACATTACCATTATCGACTACATTCTTTCACTTTATTTTTGTTAGTTTCTCTGTCTCCTACCACTAGAAATAAGTCATACAAAGATAGAGATTTTAATCTATTTTATTTATTGCTGTATCCTTCGGACACATCATAGGCACTCCATAATTGTGGTTGCATAAATAAAATAAATTTATTCCCGAGACTGTATGGTGCTGACTTGCGAATAAGAACACCTAAGCTGATACCTGAGCCACCTTGTTGGTAATAATCCATGTTACTTTGCACGAATTATTTACCCCTGATTAATTTAACTGAGGATACAGTAACAGTAAAAATTGCCTTATATCATTGGGTTGTTGTAAACATTATATTATATAATAAATGGAAAGCAACTTTGATTATCAGCATGCCTGCCATAACCACTGGGAAGTGATATATAACAACTAAGCCAGACAGCTTAAACCACCTTTACCTACCAATGGTGGTGCCCTGGGAATGACCAACATAGTGCAGCTTTTCCTGTCCAGTTTCCTTTACAATGAAGTCAATTGTGGCTGGAAGGTCATATTTAGCCATTTCATCAAAGCTGCAAGAAAACAGAAGACCAAATAAAACTGAATGCATTTTATTAATAGTTTTTAAAATTCAAGCATATTTCTAGCTAAAGCTCCCTTTGAGAAATAGAAAACTAGATTCTGCAAACATTACTGCTTATGGACTGTTAGTGAGTGTCACATGCACTTTAGGATGGCTTCTTATAAACAACTGACATCAGTTCTGAAGCACAGCATTACAGCTACAATTTAATCCAAGCAAGATACAAAGTGCAAATTATTTCTATCCCTGAAATGAAATGCCACATTTAATATGCATTTATATGCTGCATTCCAGTGCCATTTAAAATGAATCTTGTTCTTTTTTTTCTAATTCTTCACAAATCAGCCAGAGTGATATTTTGAAAATGAAAACTGAATTATGCAGCTCCCCAATTTAAAACCTTTCAATGGCTTCTCATTGCCCTTAGAGTAACTCCAGGGCCCTCAACACCACCCACACAGCCCTGCCTGCTTTGGCTCTTGTCAGTATCTTCCATATTCTTCCACATTGTCCTCTCTGTTCCTCATTACACTCAAGACACGTGGATTTCCTTAAAGTTCTTGGAACTCTTGTAGTACTTTTGTGCCTCAACCAAATTCTCTTCTGTTCTCCACCCCACTCATTAATTTCCAGGAATAAGACACAAGGAGGCCAGCGATAGGAAACCTTTAATAATCTTCACATAGTATCCAAATTTCATTCTCTCCCTATCTTCCTACTGATGATGACTCAGTTTGCTATCCTTCTACTTCCAACCAGATTTAAACATTATTTGAATCTATATGAGCATTCCTTTTGGAATTTTTCAGAGGCAACAGATTTCCCTGCTTTATCCATATTGTTTGTTTCATTTGGAAAAGCATATTCAAGACCTGCCCCCACCTCCAGTAGTGAATAATGAGATCACAGAGAGTTTGAAGGAAAATCTATACTTGGAGTGAATGAAGTATAGAGAAGAACCCAAGAAAGGTTTAGAATAAAATTACTTCCTTTGGACGGGATGTTTGACCAAGTGGTTAAATGCTTTTTGAAATACCCACATCCTATATTAAAATATCTGGGTTCAAGTCCTGATTCCACTTTTTTTTTTTTTTACAGACAGATTTAGACAGTGAGAGAGAGAGAGAGAGAGAGAGAGAAAGGTCTTCCTTTTCAGTTGGTTCACCCCCCCCCCCCCCAATGGCCACTATGGCCGGCATGCTGTGCTGATCAGAAGCCAGGAGCCAGGTGCTTCCTCCTGGTCTCCCATGCGGGTGCAGGACCCAAGCACTTGGGCCATCCTCCACTGCCTTCCTGGGCCACAGCAGAGGGCTGGACTAGAAGAGGAGCAACCGGGACTAGAACCCGGGGTGCCAGCACCGCAGGTGGAGGATTAGACAAGTGAGCCCCGGCGCCGGCCCTGATTCCCCTTCTGATTCCAGTTTACAACTGTGTACCCTGGGAGGCAGCAGCGATGGCTAAAGTAGTTGGGCTACTGCCACATGCCTGGGAAACCCAGACTGAGTTCCTGGCTCCCTGCTTTGGCCCTGCCCAGTCCCTACCATTGCAGACATTTGGGGAGAGAACCAGCAGATCAGAGCATCTTCTTCCTTCCCTCTTTCCCCCTCTTTCCTTCCTTCTTTCTTTCTTTCTTTCTTTCTTTCCTTCCTTCCTTCCTTCCTTCCTTCCTTCCTTCCTTCCTTCCTTTCTTTCTCCCCTCAAAAATAATGACTCCCTTTCTCCTCCTACTTTGAGTATAATTTGTTAAAATGGTGTCAGATTGGAGGAGGGGAATGCCCATGCTTTAAAGCCCAATGTTTTTGATTTTTAATTGCCCATTTCTAATTATCCCCCCCTTTTTTTTTACCTAAAAGCCCAGAATTCAACGGAGTCTGGTGAATAGTATAAGTTTCTTCTGGACCAGGTATTTCCTCTGCTGTTCCCCAGCCACACATCATAACCAGCATCTGCCAGAATAAAGGCCAGGCTGTTGTTGGGCAGGTTGGAGATCCAGTTTGAGGCTGATGCAAGCAAACCATGCTGCAAAAATACGACGGGTCTCTGGCCTAAAAAAGAAAAATGTTTTAAAACTTTATAAATTTGGTTCTTATTCCAAGGCAAACATGAACATAGAAACTGGCTTTCACATGACTAGATTCAAAGGTATTTGATTGAATTGAATATTTTCACAAATACTGTCTGAATTGTTGATGATTTGTCAAGATGTTGGTTTCTCAAGATGTCAAAACTTAACAAAATTTCACACTTCACATATGTGCAGTTTATTATATGACAATTATACTTCAGTAAAACTACTAAAAATATTCAAAGAAAACTCAGCATGATGTTAATTTAGGTGGACCTTGAACACTGAAGTTATGAGTAGTCTTTATTTTTATTTTTTTTTTTTGTAATTTACAATTTTCTATAATGAGAAAAAGATGAATTTTTATTAGTACCAGAAAAAATAGCCTTTATCTATTTAGGAAATGGGCTTCAAACTTCTTCCCTTATCCATTCCTCTGCAACATGTACTCTGGTTAACAGCTCCTGACCCTCCAGGATCCTGAGTACTGTGAACAATTTCCCTTCACTAGGTTAGGTGCCTTAATCAGGACTTCTAGTTTAATATAATGTGCATAGTTGTAGCATTGAACATATCATGTATTATAATTATTATTTTATCTATCTTATTGACTTGATGATGAATCTTTGAAGACCAGTAATATGGCTTGGCTGTTGCATTTACAGGATGAGCAAAACTTATTAAATCTTTAGGAAGAAATTAAAGGGGGGAAATCAAGGAATGGACAGAGCAGTGGAGAAAGGAGAAGACAAACAGAAGGAGGGAGGAAGAAAGATGGAAAAGGGAGGAAAAGAAGGCTGTACCTCTGTTCCCTGAATTTTTCTTCCCATAAGGAATTCTGTTAACCTCAAGGATATAACCATCTTCAGTCACAACTTCATATTTTTCACTTGGGTATCCCCAGTAGGAAATCATCTGACTCTGGAAGAAAAAGAAAAGGCTTTTAGTTGACTTTTTAAATGAATATAATGAATAGATATTGTTAAGTATTTTTAATTGGTCAGATAAAAGTTAAAGCCCACCATGAAACTAAATCATAGTAATATCTTAGTTTTAAATATTTTACTTTCCTCCAGTAACTTACAATATTCATATTCACTTCAGGGTTTGTTGGTGCTGATTTTCCAAAAAGACCATGTGTAGTTCCAAGTGCAGATAGCAAAGCTGCCACCATGAAAAGCACCCACATTTTGGACTGACCTGAAACAAAATAATAGCCCACGCCATAGTTAACCTATTTCACTTTTGTAATACTAATATTTCATATTAGTTTTACCTTTATGAAAAGTAGAGCATGTTTGAGTTTGATTATATTCTGTTGAGCAATGAGCTGTGGCACGTATATGTCAGCAGAGTATCTGAATACTTAATATGTTTTCACTCTGACTCCATTTGTTAGAGAACATTTAACACTTGATTTTCAAACCACATTGAAGGCATCTCAATTGGCAAAACATGTATTTCAATTGTCTGACACAACATCCTATTTTTGTGATGTCTTTTGTTTAAGACTTTTTCCAACTTTTTTGAGAGTTCTCAAATGGGCAGGGGTTAGTGGGTGCTTGATTCCTATAGATTCATCCTCCATATAACATGAATTCAAACCTATTGTGATTTTTTAAAAAATGTTTTAAAATAGCAGCTCCACAAATATTTACTGATTTCAGATCATTTTGTGGATTTAAAAGCTGATACTACTTCTCAAAATGCTGCCATAACTAAAGTAATCAGTGAATATAATTTTTTGAAATTTATTTCTCTTTTAATTTTTTGCTGACATATTATGCTATTGAAATTACTTAAGTATTTTTATAGTTGTGAAGCTATACAGGCCAAGAGAAATGTAGGCCTGTGACAAAAACATGTTTTTTGTATAATGAATGGTGTTTTTTAGATTGAAAATAGTCTAATTGATGATCCTACTCAGTCTAATCTACTCTTCCATTCAATTTTTACTTTTATAAAATGCTTATTTATTTTTTGAAAGTCAGTGTAATAGAGAAGGAGAAACAGAGGGAAAGAGAGAGAGAGAGAGACAGACAGAGAGAAAGAAATGAGAATTTTCCCTTTGCAGGTTCACTCCCCAGAGGGCCAAAATGGCCAGGTTTGAGTTAGGATGAAGCCAGGAGTCGGGGGCTTCATTCATATCTTTCACATGAGTGGAAGCGGTCCAAACATTTGGACCATCTTCCACTGATTTTCCCAGGTCATTAGCAGGGACCTGGATCAGAAGTAGAATAGCCACCACATGAACCAGTAGCCATATGAGATGCCGGCTTTGCAGGTAGTGGTTTTACCCCCTATACCACAATTCCAGCCCCTCAATTTTTACTTTTTAATTGAAAGTTCAACTTACAAATTCTATTTTTTCCAAAGGAACATTTCAATAGAATGCTACTTTCTAATCTTTTAATCTTTTAAGCGCTTGTTTCTCAGAACAGGCAATATTTGACATTATAGACCTATAACATCTAAACTTCTAAATTATAACCACCAGCTTCAAGTTAGAGAATCTTCAGATACTAAGTTGATAGAAAAGCCACAAAAGAAAAGTGATAGTCTTCCTCAAATATTTGAAAGGATGCCATATGAAGGATAGTTTTAAATCTATTTGTTTTCAATGTTCAATAAGTAAACCATTTAATAAAAGTTTATTTACTATATACTGGGAGCAATATTTAGAGGTCACATGGAGAAATTTTTTTATCTTTATTTATTTGAAAGGTAGAGGCAGAGAGAGAGAGACAGAGACAGAGAGAGATTTTTCATTCAATAATTCACTCCCCAAATTCCCACAACAGCCTGGGCTAGGCTAGGTTGAAGCTATGAACCAGGAACTCAATCCAGGTCTCTCACATGGTTGGAAGGGACCCAACTCTTGGGCCTTACCCGCTACCTCTCAGGGTATGCATTATTAGCAAGAAACTTTAATTGGAAGTAGAGCTGAAACTTGAACCAGGCACTCCCTAAATGGCATGTACGATACACCATATGCCTACCCTACGATTTTAATTGTATACAGTGAAGAATTTGGTGAGATTTGAATAAATGGATTTAAGTGGAATTCTTTGAAAAGTGATGACTTCTCAGCTGCTTATGGTATTTCAAGTAAGGCTTTATGACCACGTATCCTATGCCACACAGAATGTTTAGCATAGTTCCTGACTTAAAATGAAGATTACATTCTCAGCTCTAACAGTTCTCTGGAAGGACTCTAAATCAGCTCCTTTAAAGAACTCTTCAGAATATCCCAAGAGATTCCCATAATTTTATGCAAAAATATGTTTTGAGGGGTTTATAATTTGAAGAAGTGTATTAGTAACCTATGAAGTTAACAACGGTATTAAAGATGGTTATTTCAGCAAGTTGATTTGGATATATTAAATTATTTAACATATCAATACAGTGAGTCATAGAGGATTGACCTATTGCTTCTCAAAGGGGAGAAGAAAGGAGACTAAACTTTCACAGTAGGCACTAAGATATTTGGTTTTCATTAGTTAAGATTTTCTTTAAAAGGGATGGAGTGGCACTTAGCCTAGTGGGTATGATGCTGGATAAGGTGCATATATATACACATCAGAGTACCTGGCTTCAATATCCTCCTTCAACTCTTTTTTTTTTTTTTAAGATTTCTTTCTTTGAAAGGCAGAATTACAGAGAGAAAGGGAGGAACAGAGATCTTCCATCCCCTGGTCCACTTCCCAAATGGCTACAATATCCAGGGGTGGGATATGCCAAACCAGGAGCCAGGGGCTTCATCTGGCTTTCCATATGGGTGCAGGCACCCAAGCACTTGGATCATCTTCCATTGCTTTCCCAGGCACATTAGCAGGGAGCTGGATCAGAATTGGAATGACAAGGACAAGAAGCAGCACCCATATGGGATGCTAGCATTGCATGCAGCAGCTTAACCTGGTACACACAGTTCTGTCCCTTTCCTCATTCAATCTCTTGACTCCACTTTCCTGCTAATACAGATCCTGGAAGGCAGCAATGAAAGCTCAAACAATTATATTACTGTCACTCATGGGAGACCTGGATTACATTCTCAGCTCCTGGCTTCAGATTTAGCCCAGTCTCAGCCATTGCAGACATCTGGGGAGTCAAACAGCAGATGCGAACTCTCTCTTACTCCACCTGTCTCTCTGCTTCTCAGATAAATAAAATAAAACTTTTTAAAATATTAATCATAAAATAATTTAGAATTTCATGTGCATGAAAAAGTCAAATCCTGGAGGAATAAGCCATAATTTAAATACACACATGTATATAAATGAACATGCAACAAATATCAGAGCCTTCAAAATTGTAGCAATTAAGTTAAAGAAAAAAAGGAATACAATAATTCAAATAATGATTTTGCTCAGCAGATCTTGTACTTACAGTCTCCTCAGAAACAATTTGGATTATGTTTCTCTGGAAGTTTAGTATTTTGCTTATTGTTGCATTTGCTTCTTATATACAAAACCTTTAACAATTGCTTGAATTGCTCATTGGCTGATTAAATTATCTTAGAGTCATAATATCTGGACATCATTTAATGTTAAAAGGACAAACCTTAAAATCAAATACTATTTTCTCTTTCCCATATATTTCTCACTTTTAACAAATATTGGCCAAAGGAGTTATGATGATTGAAAATGATTTAAGAAACACTAAAATGATTCTTGATAACTTAAACATATAAAACTGTTAATCCAAAGGTACACATATGATTCTATAATTTGGCTCAGATCTAAAATTACAAAAAAGTTACTTTGTGTTCTTTAAGAATCTATCACATGTGCAATTCAGACTAGATGATTAGATAAGTGAATGTGATCAGCAAAGATTAGTGTTTTATTATGGTCTTTGACCATGATATCTAACTCTGTAGATAATGGTCTAGCTAATATACAAAGCCCAGCCCCTGATCCTTGAAAACATATTGGTAGTGTTCTTTTCATTATATAAAATCTAATGGTTAAAGCATGAACATTATGAATGTGTTGACAAAGGGTTTGTACAAATAAAAATTTTATTTCAAAGTATAATTGATGTCTTCTAATCACTATGAACATCTCCATTTCATGGTGAAAGAAAAAGAATCACATTTTGATTTGTAAAAATTATTTGCAATTTATTTTGAAAAATCTCATTTTGCTTATTAGTACCTAAATATTGATAAAATATTATATTCCAGAAATAGTATATTACATAATAGAATATATATAACTATCATTGAAAAGAACAAAATGGCAAGCTATAAATTGAAATGTTCCACCAAACCCCACGATAATGTCCTAAGTGGAGTTGATCATTTGAATAAACTAGAAAAAAATCAGTATATATCAATTACCACATGTATTTACATATTTTTATATACTAGCTAATTGTTAATGAAAACAAAATTTTCAAAGGAAAAGATGGTGATGAATTTTTATAAGAATTGAGATGGAAGGGAGGGTTTTGCTGTCCTAATAAAATTTGAACTAACTTTACCAGCAGGTATATTGTGAAGAAACACAGAGGTAAATTAACTATGTTTCTCTACATCATAGTTTGCACAGATTTAAGCAAGATGATATTCTTTTGCTATTTTTTTACTATAATTGAAAAAGATTTAGAGTCAGAATATCTGGAAAAATTAAAATCTTAACAGTCTTTGAAAGAGATCTATAATCCTTATTGAATAGTGCAGCCAAACATGCTTGTAAATACCTTAATTTCTGATTCACTAGGAATAATTCAGGTAATCCTGTTTCTAGTTTTATATGTACATTAAGTCCCATGAGAGCTCTTTCATTGCTCTGTCATTTTCCCTTTTCCATAACTTTCTGTCATCCACAGGTCTCAGCTTAACCAAGGTATCCCTAAGTAATACCACCCTGATGTTATTCTTCATCCATCAATATCTGGGGAATCTTTTCATACATTCCCATAGAATCCTAGATTTACTTCTATTATAAGGAACAATTACTTGACAGGTCATTATGTTTTTCCACCCGGACACACATACATACACTCACACACATACAAACCATACAAACACACTCATTAGATACAGGGATTGCATTTTGTTCACTCATTATTACATATTCGATGCCTAGAACTTGCTGGAGAAAATACATGATCAACAAATAGTAGAAATCATTTTTTAGTGCTTATTCATTTTCATCTACTTAAAAGAATAAGAGAGAGACAGAGAAAGAGATAGCGATATCTCCTATGCAGTGGTTCATTCACCCTTTAAATGCTTGCAATAACCAGGGAGGGCTGGGCCAGGCCAAAGGCCCAGAACCCAAAACTCCACTTTGGTCTCCCTCACAGATTGCAGAAATCCAAGCACTTAAACCATCACCTGCTGCCTCCCAGGATACATTAACATGAAGCTGGATTGGAAGCAAAGTAGCCAGGATGTGATTTAAGATTTGCACAAATCGTTTCATGGAACTGTCTTTATCTCAAGATATTTGGGACAGACATTAACAAACACCTTTGAAGCATTTAATATTTGAGGCTTTAATTATGACAAACGAAAACATGAATCTAATGTGGAAACCACCCTTGAATCAGACTGTAGAAGTAAGAGACCAAGGACAGGAGGAACAACTGCTCATATAGAGCCACATGATGTGTGATTCTGGGAAGATCACTTATCCACTGGGACTTTGCCTATGTAATAAACCACAGAATAATATCAACTATCTGCCCAACTATCTGACAGTTTTATCACATGAAAGAGTTTGTTCCTTTTGTTACTTGCTACTTTTAACTCAATATTCATGATTTGCTTCAAATGTCATCTCCATGGTGAGGACTTCTCTGTATTGCCTGACAGGGTAGGTGTGCACACGCACATACACCACCAGTTTACCTGAGAGTTTGTACTAATTAGTGTGGACCAAACCCAAGCACTCCAGTTTGGGGTATTGGTATATTACTCACTAGGCCAAATGCCTGCCCCTGTTACATGTTTTAAAAAATCAAGTGGGAGATTGTATCTAAAAATGGAGAAATTGGAAAGATTGAGGGCAGGAATACCAGTTAGGGGATTTTGCAATGCTCCAGCTGAAAGATGATAAAATGTCTAATTAGAATGGTAGTAGAGAAGAATGGATTCAAGATATGTTCTTGATGATAGTCTGATAGAATCCGCTGATGTGTTAGATTCCAGAGAGGTCAGAGTGAGGGGAAAAAAAGATACAAGGATGATTTGTAGGTATTTGTGCTGACCAACTTTGTGGGTGGTTGTAACAACTACCTAGAGAAGTCTAAGGAACAGACAGGAATGTGAAGTAGGTAATAAAGAAATACATTTTGGGGGCTGGCACTGTAGCATAGTAGGCTAAGTCTTCACCTAAGGTGCTGGCATCCCACATGGGCACTGGTTTGTGTCCCAGCTCCTGTTCTCCCGATCTAGCTTTCTGCCTATGGCCTGGAAAATCAGTGGAGGATGGCCCAAGTGTTTGGGCCCCTGCACCTGTAGGGGAGATCTGGAAGCAGCTCCTAGATCCTTACTCCTGGCCTCAGATCAGCTCAGCTCCAGCAGTTGCAGCCATTTGGGAGTGAACCAGCTGGTGGGAGACCTTTCTCTGTCTCTTCTTCTCTCTACCTGTCAAATAAATGATGGAGCGGTAAAGAAAAAAAGAAATATGTTTTGGATATATTTTTGACCCATAGATGAAAATATAAGATAGGCAGCTTATACATATATGTGTACATATGCACATGTGTAAGTACATAAAATAGTTCAATAAATTTATAAATATAGAATATATATTTATATAAATATATTTCACATATTTATATATATATGAAAAGTGTTGAGCAAGGAGCAAAGGGGTACTTTTTCTTGCTGAGGCTGTACTAATCATATAGCCCAACATTATACCTTGCATAGTACTGCTCCTCCGCACGCGGAGGGGCCGCACCGGACCGGACACTTGTTCCCCTTTTACAAGTCTTTTCTATAGTAAAGCAAGAATAAGCAAACAGCGAACTCCCAAAAGAATGAGTAGAGAGAAATAAGAACGAAGCAACAAACTTCCCCACGAACTCTCCAACACACTCTCCAACCAACCCCCACCACCGTGCCATCTCTCTCCTCTTTTATAGTCCTCTTCCACCGATCCCAACTCGGCTACCCACACACCGAGCACGCTGCTCTCCTCCAATCAGGAGCAGGATCAGCTCCTGCAGCTCAGTCAAGTTGGCGAGAGGCAGCTGTGTAGAAGCTGTTTACTCCTCTCCCAGTGCCATATTGTGGGAGAGCAGATGCATAGAATAAGTCTTAATTCCAGTGACTTAGTCTAGTCTGAGTTGCTCCCCACAGTTCCCCCTTTCTTTTTATTTTTTGGCATTGATACACGCCTGTATTCGGTGCCCCGCAGCACACACTCTAATCTGCTTGCTGGAGTTGCCCACAGGTGCTTACAAGCCCTACCAATCAGGCAAACCGAACCCGGGTCCTCTCTTTGCCATGTTGTGAGGAGGTTTTTAGGTGCTGATGTGTGCCTGTGTAAAGTTTAGCGTGATCTTCATGCTATTGACTATCTTGTTTGTCGTGGTACTTCAGGGTTTGTTGAAAACGTCCCATATTCCAAGGATCCCAGGGATTGGTTATTCATTGTTTCCTTCCTCAAATGGAATTTTTTTCTTCTAGCTCCTCTGCTGGTAGGTTCACCAAGCGAATTCTTCTCTCGGGGGTCCATATTGGTTGTGCCGCACCCTGCGGAAAAAAAAACAAACGGCGCCTGGTACTCTTCTGAGTAAGGGGAACAGGCCTTTCCATTGATCGTCCTGTAAATCCTTCCATATTACCCACTGTATTGATTCCTTATCAGCTGATTGAGCATGCATTTCTGCAGGTGTTTTGCCGTTCTTTTTCTTGTTCAAAAAATTAATTGTATAAAGAGCTAAGGCCAAAGCATCCTTATTGGATGCGGCCATTTCCCCTATTCCCCCTTTGTTTAATTATTAAATTTTTTAAATATAAGTGAGTGCGTTCTACCACAGCTTGCCCTTGTGGATTATATGGAATACCGGTAATATGGGAGATTCCAAATTCTTTCAAAAATGCAGCAAAACGAGCTGATGTATACGCTGGGCCGTTATCCGTTTTGATCACATGAGGAACTCCCCAGGCTGCAAAAGCCTGCAAGCAGTGTTGGATTACTTGTTGTACTCCTTCTTTATTCATGGCTGTGGCCATAACTACGCCTGAATATGTATCTACAGTGACATGAACACAGCTTTGTCGCCCAAAAGAAGGGATATGTGTAACGTCCATCTGCCAGATATATCCTGGTTTAAGGCCACGGGGATTGGCTCCCGCAGGAATCTTTGGAACTATGGCAACAACGCACTTTTCACAGGACCTAATAATACCTTCTGCTTGCTTGCAGGGAATATTAAATTTAAAACTTAAAGTGTGGGTGTTAACATGCCATTTAGAGTGATATTCTTTAGCTTGTTCCAAACCAGTGCATGCAAGCAAGAATCTTGAATAATGATCGGCCATCATGTTACCTCGAGTAAGTGGGCCACGTAAATTAGAATGAGCTCTTGTGTGGCCTATGTAAATAGCATGCTCTCTCTGATTTAATAACCCCTGAATTTCGCTTAAATAAGAATAAACTGAGGAGGATTTAAGAATAAGGCACTGTGTAGCAAGCATCTGAACTACATTCACCACATATGCACTATCAGACAAAATATTCATGGGTGCGCTCTCTCTGCGTAATACTGTCGCGATAATAGCTAATTCTGCATGTTGTGGAGAAGGGGATGCTGTTAAAACAAAATATCATTGATTGCCAAGTATAGCTGCTCCTGTTCCGCCTTTAGCTCCATCCGTAAATACAGTAACTGCCCCTTGAATTGGATCCCTTCGCACCTTCTGCACCCGTTTTATTGAAACCTGTGTGCAGAAGTTAACAAATGGATGGCGAGGGTAGTGATTGTCAATCTCTATTTGTAGAATGAGAACTATGTATGCCCATTGCCAGCATTCCTTTGTAAAGGCTTCTACTGCCTCTTGAGCAAAGGGAACTATACATCGCTTTGAAGTCTTCCCTGCCATTTCTGTCGCCTTTTTTATTGCTGTTAATATCAAATCAGCCACCGCAATGCCTTGGGTGTATAGTACCACGCGGTGCATGTGAATGTGGGTATACGAACAACAAGGGTCCTCCTTGCCAAATGACTGCGAAGGGATACAACTGTTCCATAAAAATTCATATTTCTAGGGCTTGTTGTAGATCACATCTTTCCATCTGCATTGCTTTACTTTGTTTTCGATTTTCTGTAGCGTCAAGTGGGCTTCTTTTGTCAATCTACGAGGGGAATCAAACTGGGCATCTCCCTCTAAAATATTGAATAATGGCATCATATCTTCGGTGGTTTATTTACAATAGGGCCTCAACCAATTTAAATTGCCACATAATTTTTGGAAGTCATTAAGGGTCTGCAACCCATCTATTGCAATTTCAAATTCTAATGGAGTCACCTTTTCAGAAGTTACTTTAAGCCCTAAGTACTGTACTACTTCCCTTTTTGTATCTTCTCTGGCGCTACTTGTAACCCAACTTTTTCCAAATATAATAGCAGCAGCTTGTATGCTTCCATAAGGTGACTTTCACTTTCAGCCGTTATTAACAGGTCATCCATGTAATGTAAAATTTGTACTTCTGGGCACTGTTGTCGAACCGGCTCTACTGCCTGATCAACATATAGCTGGCATATGGCAGGACTGTTAGTCATTCCTTGGGGAAGCACCTTCCATTCATATCTTTTGTCAGGACCTTGATGATTAATGGAAGATACGGTGAAAGCAAACCTCTGAGTGTCTAGTTCATGTAGAGGTATGTTAAAAAAGCAATCCTTCAGATCGAGTACTATTAATGGCCAATGCTTTGGGATCATAGTAGGAACTGGAAGTCCAGGTTGTAATGCCCCCATGGGTTGCATCTGCTGATTAACAGCCCGTAAATCATGCAACAACCGTTATTTCCCCGATTTTTTCTTTATTACGAATATTGGCGTATTCCATGGGGAGGTTGATGGTTGCAAATGGCCTGCCTCTAATTGTAACACTATATCATTTACCGCAGCCAGCTTTTCCTGGGTAAGGGGGCCACTGTGGTATCCACTTTGGCTTGTTGTCCAGCCATAACAATGGCTGCGGCTGCATCTCAGTGGCCCCCATGAAAAACCCGTGTCCTGTCTTTTAAAGTCGCCTTTGGGCTGGGCTAGGTCCCTTCTGCTTCTCCTCTGGAGCCTAATCCTCTCTCCTGATGTCCCTTTTTATACATAATACACCGTCCTGGAGAACTCTCCAACTGGTCTTCATTGGTTAATGTCAGTCCCATTTGTTCCAAAATGTCTCTTCCCCATAATGTGATGGGGAGTGCACTTATGTTAATAAGGTTGCACATTTCCCTTGTTCCCTTCTTGATCCTGCCAACGAAGCACCTGAGCACTCCTTGATGGTGTCATGGCCACACCTAGGCCTACTAAAGTATTATCTCCTGGCTGAAGGGGCCATGACTTCGGCCAATCATTTTCCAAAATTGTACTTACATCTGTGCCCGTATCTAGCAGGCCCTGAATCGACTTTCCTCTAATGGTTAAGGTCCATAGGGGTCGATCTGCTAAAGACATGGATAAGGCTGCAAATTTCTCCCCTTGGGGTCCACGAACATCCTGCGCTCCAGTCATAATCAGCATCTGAGCCACAGGTTCTTCTGGCTTAATTTGTACAATGCCTTTTGTGGATTGTAGCAGCACCTTTAGCTTATCAAGGGGTAATTGGACAACTCCAGTAATGACCATTAGGCCTCTTAAAGCATTTGTTGCCTTTCCTATAATTATTCCAAGTCCCTTCTGCCCAGCCGAAATTGTTTCTGCCATCACCTCTATGGCTTGTGCTCCCATTTGAGGTGTTAGTACCAAATACTCGGTGGCTCGTAACTCTGAGCAGTAAATATTTGGTTTCTGTATTGTTGGGACCGTGGCACCCACCAATTGTTTTGGCCCCGGGGTGCAGGGGCACACATTCTGTTTTTTGGCTGTTGTCCATATACACCTCGTCTTTTTATGGGGCCTGGCTCATTTGGCACCCTCAGGGGATTGGCTGCGCTATGCATTTTAGAGTAACATTCGCTGACCCAGTGGTTCCCTCTTCTACAGTGTGGGCAAAGGCCTGGTCTTCTCGAGTTCTCCATGCTCTGCTGATCTCGGGCTGGAAATTTCGCCCTACATTCCCTCATTAAATGCCCTTCTCTACCACGTCTAAAGCATTTTCGTCCCCTCATATCTTGTCTAAATTGTCGGGTTATTGCTACTGCAGCATGTGATCCAGAAGCCACATCATCCATGACATCCCTATAGATTTTCAAGAAGGTAGGGATGTCCTTATGCTGCCATGGTCTAAGAGCTTCACGACATTTTTATTGGCCTGTTCATACGCCAATCTTCTAAGGGCATTGCTTCTTCCACAGTTTCAAAAATATTTCCCGCTGCTTCCATTAATCTGTTCACGAAGTCAGCATAAGGTTCAGTAGAGCCCTGCACTATCTTAGTCAAGCTGTGTCTTATCTCACCTTTTCTGGG